TATTTAACTACTAGTATTACTATTAATTGTATTACTATTAATAGCGGATAAGGAGGACGAGGGCGAAGAGATTAGAAATTCCCTAGTAGAGGCCGGAAAATTATTTATATTATGTCCACCTATACCTTCGATTCTCAATCTTTATTTATTACCGCCACCCCCCGCCCTACCTAGTCGGCCGGCTAAAAAGATTATTACCGAATTCTTTAAAGCATTCTATAAATATTATTATATTGGATTATTAATTAAAGTAATACTAGTATATAAAATTCTAATTACTTTAAAGAATAAGCTCCGGAATAAGGAGGCACTGCCTAATATATTCGCGTTTAGAGAATAGCCGGTAAAGTAGTTTACAAGGCTAGGGTTTAATTATAACCTCTATACGGTATTTAAGGACGGTATTAAAAATTTCCTTAAAATTAAATATATAGTACTAGTAATATAGTTAAGTTATAGTAAGTATACCTTTTAACCCCTATTACCGTAATTTAATTAACTAATATATATTTTAGACCCGCAATTTAATACTATATTCAAATATAGTATTACTAGAGCTCTCGTTTCTATAGCGGGTAGTACTACTACTAATAATCCTAACGAACGATAACAATATTACAAATCGATTTATAGCGAAAGAGGGGGGTTTCTAGCATTTTAGCATTATTATATAAATAAATACAATTTCTAATACTTTTAATATTTCTAATATTTCTAGTATTTTTAGTATACAATTCAATTTAATATATATAAATCCATCTCTCCCTTTTATATTCTCTACTACCGCCTAAATATAATATTCGTTTCTCTATACTCAATTAATTTATTAATATATAATTTACTATACTCTTTATTAATATTATTAAATCGATTTATTACTAATTTTACATTCTTAAAATAACTATAAATCTATTACACTCTATACCCTATATCCTATACTAATCGTTTAAAAAACGCAATAAAATTATCGTCTAATATTTTATTACTACCTTCGTTACAATATACCCTCTTGAACTGCCGCTTAAAATCACTAAAATATACTTCAATAAGGTTGAATTCGGGAAAGTACGGTAATAAATATTACAATAAAACCCCCTTCTAATTATACGCGTACTAGAATTCAGTACGGGGGTGCTAACTAATATTATCTATTACTAAAATACTATTACAATAGCACCGCAAAATACCTAATTAATATAACGAACACCGTCCCTTCAGTCTATACTAAACTCATTATAGAATACAAATATCTCTATAATAAATAAAGAAATTTTTAATATTTATTCGGCTACTAGTATAGGGGATTATTATAATACCTTTATATAGAGTCGCTTCTTCTTCCACTTATTTTATCGAAGGTACTACCATACAATTTCGGTCGAAATATATACGTTATATTCGTTAACTAGAAAGGCACAAATCTTATTAAAGTATAAATCGGGTTTTAAAATAAGGAAGTTTATAATTTCCTTTATAATATTAATTATAATTAATAAAGTATAAGGAGCAATATAATATACACTATACCTTAAACGCCTATATAAGAAACTTTCCAATATTCTAGGAAATTTACAATAGTAAAAATACTTTACTAGTATCCGATAGAATACGCTTATATTTCCACACACTCCTTACACTTATACTAATAATCTTAATAACGTTATTAGAATATTCGTTATTTACTAATATTATCGTTATTAATACCTTCTAGCGGGTATTAGGGTAGTACACTATATCGACAACAGTTTAAAAAATAATATAAATAGTAAAATAGATAATTATACGACGTAGAATATTAAAATATCGACTTTTTATACTAGTTTTGGCCAAATTTCGATATTAAACGATTGAGTTGAGTCGTGTAAAGCGATGTCAAATGGCCAGATTTGTCAAATGCGGTGTGTGTGTGTGCACGCACACACACCTCTTGCCAAGACTGCACAGGCGATTGAGTGTGGGAACGGTACCATGTTCTGGACTCCTATTCGGGCCATCCCCTGCATCGTCAGTGCTCTTCTGTACCTTTTTCTCCACTGCAGTCCTCTAACCAGAATTGGCAGCCGCTTTGACAAACAAAGCAAAGAACTGCTGAACGTTTCATCGCGTTCTGGGTCCATCGTAGTGTGCGTGCATCTGCTTCGTTGAAGGCTGGAATAGCTATTCGCCGCTTGACTGAACTTGGGATGAATCTGAGGCGTACATACATCGATGTTTTCATCCTCCCAGCACACCTCACCTCGGTCTAAGGCGGGCGCTTTTTCGGCATCCCATTCCGGGAATTTTTTTTCTCTTTCCTCTTTTGGTTTTATATTTCTGCATCTCCATGCATGTCGCCATTGATGCACACTGTTGATAGACGAGCACATCATCACTGCCGTTCTAAATTTTTACTTGTCGTTACTTATCAGACCGCAAGTCTTTATCACGAACGAATACATACATACCTACTACACAGCTATACCTCGGAGATTGATGAGTATCCATCATCAGCCCCGTCGCGAACAACAGACAACATCAAAATAAGTAATTAAAAGAAAGGTTACTCGAGACATCCATGGCGCCTCAAACAGAAATCCCAGTTGTACGTCATCCCGCTCCCCGCCGTTTGGCAAGGCTTCGTTGTGTTACCTGCCTGCTACCCCACGGTTACCGTTACCCATTGCCATCTGAACCATCGATTGGTATCATGGCATCGATAACGGCATTGTACAATACAGCCCCAATTGATCGTAATGGTGATACTGACGGGCAATATCACAGGCCGCCAATGTACTTGGGACGATAGGAACTGTGTAAGCCTCCCCAGATACCAAACCTCCTTTCCATCTTTTCACACTGAACATTTCATATCTAACTAACCATGCCGTATTTTCCAGCTTCTGGTGTGTCCAGCTCATCCCGCAAATATGGACCAACTACCGCACCAAAAGCACAACTGGCCTCCCGGGAACCATGATGTTCCTCTGGGCGCTGTGCGGCGTTCCGTTCGGGGTGTACGCGATAGCCCAGAACTTTAATATACCAATCCAAGTGCAGCCGCAGGCGTTTATGACGCTTTGTTTAGTTGGTTGGGCGCAGATTTTGATCTATGGGTCGTAAGTAGTCTTCCCTTCCTATTTTCTTTCTGTGGTGTTGGAATCAAGTTAGTGAGACGGTAAGATGGAGACAGATACTGACAAGGCACAAACAGAAAATGGCCAACTTGGAAAGCCACTGTCCTAGCCTTGATTGTGGCTTGCGTGTTTGCCGGTGTTGAAGCTGCCCTGATCTTCACACTACGGGTGAGTTATCCCTTTCCCTTCCCTTCCTTTATCCTCCTATTCAAAAACTGAAGATGACTAAAACAAAACGCAAAAGCCACTCTACGAAGCAGGCAACGAAACCCCCGTCCGAGTCATCGGTATCATAGCCGCCATCCTCCTCGCCGCCGGCCTCCTGCCTCCCTATGCAGAAATGTACAAGCGGCACGGTCGGGTCGTCGGCATTAACTGGATCTTTCTGTCGATGGACTGGTCAGGAGCCTTCTTCTCCCTCATGGCCGTGGTGACGCAAAACACGTTTGACGTTCTGGGTGGTGTGCTCTACATCATTTGCGCCTTCCTCGAGCTAGGCATCTTTGCGTCGCACTTGATTTGGTTGGTGAGGACGAGAAGCATAAGGAAGCAACTCAAGAAAGATGGCAAGACTTTTGACGATTTGTTGGGCGAGTATGAGAAGCGGGGTGAGAGTTGGAAGTGGGCAGAGAGAGATTTGGATTTGGGGGGGTTGAAGTTTTGGGCGAGGAAGGACAAGAAGGGGGAAGAGGAGGAGGGTGAAGGGGAGATTGAGCAAAGGGATTTGGAAAAGCAGGATGTCGGTAATTCTGCTGCTGATGCTGTGGGACGGCAACGTGATGGGGCTTTGGACAGTAAGATGGCGATGGCTGAGGCACATAATCAAAACGGGAACGCGGAGGATACAGACGCGAGTACGCCTACCATGGTGGATGGGGAGAACAAGGCGGTAGGCAGGACGTGAAGGGGACGGCGTGATGGATGAATGCCTGATGAGGATATACAGAAACGAAGCTGGATGTTGAGGAACAACAAAAGAGAACTGGAATAGTTGGTTTTGGTTTTGGTTTTGAATATGATACCATGGCTGGGACTTCGTTACGGGATACGAAGGCTGTGCGAGTGAACGCATAGCCAGGGACACATCAGCTGGTTGAACATGAAAAATGAAAGTAGGAACGAGGATATATGAGGAATGGAAGCCGCTGACGGCTAGCAGATAGAAATAGAATCCAAGTAGATAATTGTTATCATTGTTCTACTAACAGCCGTGTTCGAATGTATCCCGTCTGGGGATTTATTCTTCCATATTTTTGAAAAAGTATATAAGCACACGAGAGACATCGATCAGATGTCAGGGTATCGTAACCAAGGAATGCAGGAGGTGAACACCAACTTGCCCTCCCTCATGATGGCGGAACAAGAAAATACGAAGGAAAGAAACGAAGGCGGCTCAAAACGTCAGACAACCTCCAATGCAAATGTCAAAAAGAAGGAAAAAGGAAATAGCCTGAATGATGAAAGCACACAGTGAAAACGGCTCGGGTCGATAGATGCGACCGGTTACCCTCGGCAGCTTCCAAGTTCAGTTGGAAAATGCAGGCGGGGATTCGAGCTGATAAGACCTCGAGATCTGGAAAAAAAAAAAAAAGTTAAGAGCCGGTCCTTTGGTCCTTCCTGATATCCTCGGCACCTTCCGCTCCTGCCTTGACTGTTCTTATCGAGCCTTCCTAAAACGTCTCTAAATCAAAATATCCTTCTTTCTATCCAACTCGTCCGTAACCCGAATTTCCCCTCATCCCGCCGGGCCGCAGTTGGAGCTTCTTGCTTTCCCCACACTAATTTTGAGTCGGAGGTCTCGAAACCTGGATTCAAACTAAGCCAAAAAAAAAAAAAAAAAAAAAAAAAAAAAAAAAAAAAAAAAAAAAAAAAAAAAAAAAAAAAAGAGTTCCTCAATCCCGAGACCATCGTCTTATTAACGCTGTGAGGCAAGGTGTTATGTAAAAGGCGTTCAGTTTGCTTCACATGATTATGCACTTGTGGTCGCCCTTCCTCTTTCTCCTCCGCTTCTTCTTCATGGGCCCATGACCATCCTCCTGTTTCCCTTGGCCGTAGCCGTACCCGCTACCATTGCGTGCGCCGTCGTCGTCGTCTACTTGGCCGCTATCGTCCCTTCGGAGCATTTGGCGGCAGAGGTCGATGAAGACTTCGTCAACGTTTGCTTTTTTGAAGTGTCAGTAATCTGTCTCTTTTTGAATAAGGACATGAACAACATACTCCTCGTCCTAGCGCTAGCCTCGTAATAAGGCGCATTCCACTGTTGAGAAATGGTAAAGGCCTTTGCGCGATCGACGGCTCGTTGGTCTAGCAGGTCGGCCTTGTTGCCCACCATGACGATGGGGATGTTCTCGTCATCTTTGATGCGTATGATCTCCTCACGGAGCGTGGCGAGCTCGTCTAGCGAGGCTTGCGAGGTTATACTGAAGACTAACAGAAATCCTTGGCCGGCCTTCATGTACAGGTCTCGCATAGCAACTTTTGCCCAAAGTGTTAGCGAGATAAGTTCCAAGTTGGGGGGTGTTAGTTGAGTTAGGGCGGTGCTGTTACTCACCGAATTGTTCTGTACCGGCGGTGTCGAGGCTGATGAGCTACATGTTAGCATCAACCGGTCAAAAGTGAAGTGTAAGTGAGGAAGGTCCCACATTTCCAGTATCACTTGTCGTCCCTGGAGGTCCTCGTTAGCAAATCTGAAACATAAACATCCATTAACAGAATGGGCAAGTTGACTTACATCGACAGCCACTTGTGTCCTGTACGAGTCCTCAATGGTTGGATCATAGCTTTCAATCCATTCGTTGTGTACGAATTGTGCTGTTGTTCACAACATGTTCAGTATAGTGTTCCGTTGTCTTGTCCACACAGGTGACAGGGGTCATCATGCAGGTGTGGTTGAATCGGGTTTAGACTTTGGGGGCGCACAACATACCAGTTAAGCAACTCTTGCCGACACCTCCTTAAGTAAGCCATCAAAGTCAGCAGTTGTAGCATGTGATGCGCATGTCTTGGCATAGGGGGGTTGTGTGATTTTTTTTGATTTTTTTAATTTTTTTTTTTTCCACGATGAGGTTCACAGCGAAAAGTCAGGTGAAAGAGGAGGGTGGAGCACAACATACCGGTGCCTAGGACAACGATATGGAATTCGCGGCTATAGGACGAATCAGCATCAGAGCAAAGAGGTTAGGGAGTGACAGAGCGTCTGATGAGCACTGCTGTGGCCCCATTAATGTGTAAGGTAGGCTGTGCTCTAGAACAGAGATGCGAGGGGGCGTCTCAAGATGGAGGCCCATCAAACATTGATGTAATATAAGAGAGTGGGTGCTCACCAAGGCTGGAATCCGTAAGTGCGCATCATGGTCAACGGGAGGAGTCCACCTCAGACAGCTGGCAGGGCTTATACGAACTGAAGGGCAGAGTAAAAGCCAATGCACGCGTCCTGGCCCGTCACACTCTGCCCGTTTCGAAGATGCGAATGCGTTTGCGTGTGCGGTAGATATCGGGGTGGTTGTCGTCGTCGCTTTGGGGATGGGCGACTTTGATCTGATATGCTGCCCCCTTTTGCTGCGCGCCGTGTTATTTTTTTGCTTCAGTGTTTGGGATCGGCTCGCCGGAATCTCCAACTTTTGCAGATCAGACGAAAAAGAGGTCAAAGCCTAGCCAGCTCGCTCCAAATAGCTCTAGCTATTCGCGGGGCGCTATATTGGCGGATGCGACGATATGCCCGCTCGGCCGTCACACCATGCAGCAGGGCACCGGGAACAATCCGGACCGTAAACCCAGAAGGATGGGGGGGCAGCACCTTTACGTGAAGGTAAATTTCTCCCAGCAAGCGATTTTGAAAGCGAAAGAAGGATGAGTCTCGAGTCCGTTCTCGCCTTCTGGGAAAGGGTATCGGTATCGGTAGGTACGTAGCAACGACCTGAGGGGAATCGCTCCGAGTCGGGATTCTGGACCGCTTTAGAAAATTTTAGGCCTCCCAATTTCGCAGGGCTCTTTTTCACTCGACTGAATTGGCGGCTGGCCCCCTCTACACAAGGTTGTTTTGTTCTCGCGCGTCGTTAACGTGACTGTGACTTCTCGATTCCGTCCCAACAATCCACCCGCATGAACTGTAGAAAACTGAGCAGAGCACAACACGAAGCAACAAGCGCCTCCGGAGTTTGGGGGGTAAAGTATACAGCCTGTGAAGTACCTATCTCTCTCGAGGAGGGGTTGAGGGCCAAAGCGCCGGGGAAGGGCGGGAATGGATGAGCTGGAAGGGCGTGCTGAACCGTTGCTTTCCAGCTGGGCGCAAGCAAATAATTAAGCATCGATGGTTCCAACAGAAAGGCGAGAAGCCTAAACGGGTCAGAAGGGTCGTGAGGGCCTCGTCCGCCGCTTGTGGTGCCGTGGTGGTGCCCAAAGTGGTGCCCGGTGGAGTCTGGTCCGGGATGGCTTCAGAAGCCAAAAAGGCCTAGATGAGTTCAAGCCCACCGGCTGATGAGGAACCAGCGCCCCGGTTACAGGGCCGAGCCTCGCGTGCGCGTTGCTGGGTCCCAGATGTCCCGATCAAACCAGCTAGGGTTGATGTTGAGGATCCCGGCCACTGCCTTTGTAGAGGATATCACGAGACGTCGACAAGACGGGGGTGTTTAGTGACTCCAATATGCCATATGCGAGCTCAGCGTGTTTGTATAGAGTCCAGACCTGAGATGGAAACGGTTCGATATCTCAAAAAAAAAAAAAAAAGAGAAGAGAACACGAAAGGCAAAAGAAAGTCCGGGCGACCAGATTGCCCATCGTGTCCATCATAGGTAACTCCTCTTTATCCACCTCCATCATCGGCACTTGTACTTCCGCAAAGCCGCCGCCTCCAGTCATGATATGCTGTTCAGTAACCGCCGCGGAGCAATGGCCATGGTCAACTCGACGGTGGCGTCCAGCCCAACTCTGGGGATACACGACAGCCACGCCAACAAAAGAACCGTGAAGCGGAACCAAACGGACAGACGAGACTGCCGTCCGGATGACGGATACATACTTGGTCGACGGTCCGTACCGTGGACATGGCCAAGCGACATATCTTGCTGCAAGAGACGGCGGGCGCATGACAGCCCGTCCATGTCTCGGACGGAAATACTGTGTCGTTTCGTTGCCCATTTCTTTCTCATGAAGCCATCAACTATTCGCGACTGACAGTCCGAATTTATGGCTCCAGGTGGAGGCTTTGCTCCAATTGGCCTGAAATGGTTACATATCAGTTGGGACTTGGTTGCGCATCAGCTCCCCACCTCCACTCGCTGTAAGTGCCTGTCAATGCTGCAGCATGGTGTTTATTGCCCCTCGATTGATACCTACCTATTCAACTTGCAAACCATTGTGAATGGCACATGATAGCAGATTGCCAGGTGTTGATGCCCATCTATTGCTCGTCAGGTACACACACACACACATTCGCGGGGTTGGTGGGTATCTGGAGCCGAAAGAGGAAGGGCTAACCATGGCCTGCCGAAACCCAAGTGTGCAGCGAGAGCTCCCTTCCCTCTCCCGTCGTGCTCACCTGGCCGGTCCCGCACCTGGAGCATCAGATATGGTACTGTAGTAGGTTATGCAAGAGACTGAGGGGCTCGCCGGCCGCTTCAACTTAACCTAACTGAGCTCCAGAACACCCACCGTTCGACCATCCTCAACGGCCAAGCGGCCTCACCTGCGACCTTTCATTATGCAGTGACCCATGCACTATATGTCATTCAGTCGAACCAGGGTATTTAGGCGAGAAGTCAGGGTCTCCAATGGCCGACATTGAGTCCAGACCGACCTCCCTTTGCCAATCGCTGTTTTCTTTTTCTCCCAAATTGCTAACTTTACGTCTTCTGTTTCTGCCCAAATAATCATCAGACGCTCTCGCCTCTTTTGTTGTCTCATGCAGAGGAAAAAAGTAGGATCCCTTGGCGATCAATAAACCCCTCTCTGACTGGACGGGATACCCTGGAAGCAAAGATCCGGCATAACTCACGATCCACGAATACCGAGCATGTTCGCCATGTCAATATCCCGATGTCGGTCGGACTGCGACGTCTATCGGACTCTCTTCAGCCATTCCCCTTGTGTACTTTCTGCGAAGCTCTCACACATCAGCTACGACCTGGCACAGCACAAGTCAATAGGTTACGTCGCAGCTCGTATCTTGCTCCTTTGCCCTTCGTTCGTGCTCCGATGGACAACAACCTTCCGACGCCATCTCTACCAACTAGCCCATCAACCTATACCCTCGTTTGTCGGCGATTATCTTTTTACGAAGGCTTCGCCATCCGATGTTGTATACCTACAAAACACGCCAGCAGCGGCGGCGGCGGGCAACTTTCCCTCGACGAAAACATCGGGGGTTGTCATCTCATGGCCCGTGCGTCAACACATCTAGTCATCGAGTTCCAGGACCGATATCTTGCAAACCAAACTGCCCCAGCCCACTTGAGTGACAGCACTGTTGAAAAAGGCTAAGAGCTTGTAATATCTGCAAGTCGAGCCTTCCTGCTGTTGTCAGGAGAAGAGCATCCATATGGGGGAAAAAAAAAAGTATTGGGTTCTCCTAACCAATATTGACCTTGACTTTGCCATCCAAGACGGAAGCCAGACATTGGAGCCGTTGGCCGGGCTTGGGATAGGGTATCACTCCTGGAGATGATTCCCCGAATGACGAACCACTTGTACCTGCCAGCTTACGGTACCGAATCGGAATGCAACCTATCTCTGGATGGCGGTGTCAAAGCTGCCAGGTACCAGGCAAATAGATGCATATCATACCAAAGCGATTGCTATTCCTGGCATACATTTACGCAGTAGTGTATAGCCGGCAATGGGTTGAACAGGTTGACAGGTTGGGGTGACATTGAGAAGTTACCGCTTTGGACTAGTTGATGATATTCTCAGCGCAAAGAGCATCAGCTTGGCCTCTCCTGGGGGTTTGGCATGGATATGCCCACAAGGAGGGCGGCCGTCCACAAGCCATTTGTCGTTCAGGTGGCTCAAGGCTCCAACAACTGAAGCAAGCCGGCCAGAGCTACTTAGCAACAACAACCGGTGTAGCGTTGCGCAAACCCTAGAGAGCATCACTCCCAAAGCACAAGCTGATACCCTCCCTAGTCGCTGATCTGGGGCTCCCTACGTCAACGGCTGCCAGTATTGCGTCACTACGGGATCATGAATCTCACGATCACTCTCTTCCCCGTACACTCGCTCGCTGCGGTGGTACTCGATTCAGGTTAATAAATGGTGTATCAACTCACTAACGTTAGTAAAGGTTGGGAAACCGGTGGCAATCCAATATGCTACAGCCTTCACTTTGCTGAAAAGCTGTGCTCAACCGGAGTAGGTTTGTTCAACGATACCCAGTTAGACTTCTTGCGTCTGGATGATACATATCCCCAAGTCTCAATGAAGCCCGGTATGACGGAGCACTGCAGCTGACTAGCGAATGCTGTGGCCGTCTTGGGCAATTTATCTCGGGGACTGAATGAAAGGTAAACTGAAGTGAGAGTAAGCTTGCGGCTGGAGCTGAGAATTGCGGTTGGACAGCCCTTAAACCACTTGAGAATAAGTCTCTCTTCGTCGATCCCAGGACCGTCAGCGTTTCCCAAAAACGGAAATATTAATGCTAAAAAACTCTGGTGACGAGTAAACATAACCTTCGGTGGAAGTCATTTGCTCTTGCTTGCGTTTGTGAGGCTGAAAGGAACAGCTGGATGTCGCGCAGAAACAACGATGCACAGGAGTTTGAGCCTCCTCCGAACGCGGTACCCGGCTCGAGGTAAGGCACGTGTAGGAAGGTAAATCACAATTCCAACCAAAAGAGGCGCGGAGCTCGCCGGGCTTTTTTTTGCCCCTGAACTTGTTACTCAACATAGTCCAGTTAACCTTCGCTTGTGGAAGTGGCTCAAACGGTCACAGAACTTTGACATGACTGAGCAAAAGTTTGACGGAGTGAACAGGTAGATAGATGTATAGCAAACGTCAAGAGCACCAAACAATAGCAACGACTTCTCCTTGGGGAACTCGACAGTCGATGCGATTTTCTTTTTGTCTGAACACCTAACCCCTCAACGTATTTACTCCTCGCTCTTTACCTTTAAATTAAAGACTCCTTCGACTCATTTTTTTCTGATATCACTCAACACCAATGCGACAAGATCCGCATCACCACCGCCCCCAACTTACATCATCGTCGGTGGTGAGGCGGGGGCCACCGGGGGCCTACGAATCAGAAACACAGAGATTGCGAACACAAGGGGAGATATTTAGAAAAAAAAAAAAAAAAAAAAAAAAAAAAAAAAAAAAAAAAAAACCGGTGACAACTTCGCGGTTTTGTCATATGCAGGGCGGAAAAAAAGACAGCCAGATAGCAAACCAAGATGGGCAGGCCGATGACTGACAGCCATGACAGGCAAAACACATCCACACACCCACAAGCACATACACTGGGGCAAGAGAAAAAAGAAGAAAAAAAAGGAAAAAAAAAAGCAAACATGACACCGCCAGATCGGTTACGGTCAAGCCTCCAACTTTACTGGTGGTTACTTTAGTGTACATATGACGTCCCGGGACTCCGTCCGATCTTTGGGTGATGCTAGCAACGCTAGCGATGCCTTCAATCCATAGATCTGTATACTATATATTTGCTTACCTAGCTAGCCTCAAGGGGTTCGTCGTGCGGCCGGTGGCACGGCATGTATGTGTCTACATACATAGCTCTACCTTTAGTGACTGACAGGAGAGTTGAGTTCCCTCCAGTTCACTTGCACCTATTCGTACCTTTTCAGTTCTGTGGCTTGCTGAGATGCAATTCAGATTGCCCAGCCACTAGCCGGACTTAACCCGAATGATAGACGCCGCCTCTGGCGCGAACTGGAGTGAACTGTAGAAGTGAACTGAAGCAAGCACACATGAGCAAGCTCGAGTTTTAGGCGCACGCAAACAGCCGATTGACGCTTTCGCCATGTAAACCGAGGGATCTGGCATTTGGGCTTCGGCGTGATAGAAACATGGTGGCGTAAGAGGCTTGTGATCTGTCGAGGTACTCGTTAGGGCTCAAAGTCCCTTCTTACCTCCCGGGTGTCGACCATGCATAGTCATAGGTCTGTGACAATGCTCGGATACGATCAACACGTCACCATCACCGTAAGGTCGACTTTAAGAAAACGCAATAAAGGAAAGAGAAAGATATGCAAGAAAATCCACGGAAATCACACCGAGAGAGAGGCATTATCATCACCATCATCATTTTCATCATCGGGGAGGCGGATTCAGAAGATGACTTGTGGCTTCAACGTTGTCCGGGGTGCGCGGGTATGGCAAGGACTCGAAATCACCTCTCTGATTCTCTGACCAAACTTGTCGTCGTTGTATCAGATAAATGCCCGATACAGCCAGTGATACACGACCTACTCGGAAGTGAATAAATGAATGGAAGAGGTGGGTCGACGAGTTCGAGTCTGTCATTTTGTGGTCGAGTGGCTGCCGTCCGTTTGCTAGACTCAGACTACCACGGAATAGCTTCTGAACGGGAATGGCGATTTACGATCGGCAATTGTGAGCGGAAGAGACGGACCAAGGGCCATCGCAAATCACATTTCTGCATTTGACTGCCCGCGGTGGACGGAGAAGCTGTGATGGGTCATTCGATAAACTCTCAATGTCGCAGATAATCCAGATCCGATGATGCTTCACGCCAAGTGCCCTGGTCGGACAATTGCTTGAGAAGTGAAGTGGAAGGGAAAGCTCTGGCCAAGAAACCTAGTGCCCTATGAGGTTTCTCATCCAGCTTAAAAGCATAGGGTGGAGCTGAAGACAGGTGGAGCACAGACCCCACCACCGCGCTAAGACTGTGAGAGACTCACCTGCGGGTGATGGCGACGCTAGTGTTTCCGATTTGGCCTGCGTGAGGTTGCCATGAGCTGATTGATGGATTGGGGGAAAAGTCCAAGGGGTGGGGCAATCCTTTGGCAACTGGCGGGGGTTGGAGTGGTGTTCCATTGACTCTTCCTCCCTTTCCATCTTTCGAAACACTTACCTCGCTACTTGTCCAGTTCATTACTGTACCTCAGCTGTTTCTCTCCATCTTCAATCAGACCGTCGGTGGTTTCTACGATCATGTCGTCGAAGTGATCAAAGTGCGCCTCTCCCGAGGAAACCGTTGGGTTGTGGCTTGAGCGGCGATGAACACCCACCCCCTCCCCTCCTCCTCCTCGGCTCCTCATCCCACGAGCAAGTCTGACGCCATGCGAGACACGCCAACAGGAGACCTGCTTAAACTACCTAACTACTTCTGCCTCTGCCGACTTCCGCACGTGTTCGCCCTAACCCTTTCACCTGGCGGCCTCGTGTGTAGCCGCCGCCGTTTTCTGTTTCGCCCGTAAAATTCCCACGACCGCGACGCCGCATGTCAGCTACAAAAATGCTGGCATTCCTCGTGTTGCGGCTCGCTGGTGTCGCACAGAAAACGGCGTGGATGTTCTCAGCGCATGTGGGAATCCTAAGTGGGAAACGGGAGACCAGGAGAAAGAAAAAGTGGCTGGCGCTCCTTGGTCTTCCTTGAGATCCCGATTAGCTATGTCTTGGTTCCGTCAGAATAATATCCAGATCGCAAGCGCTTTTGGATGGACTCGCGATGGATAGGCACATATTTAGCGGGAGTTGGATGGACATCATCAGCTCATACTCTTGTATGTACATACGTATATATGGATGTATGCACCAGAGTGATCGTCATCTCTGGCAGATCGAATGGGGTCAGATCCGATGTCATGGCACGAAACAAGGGCACTACCGGGTGGACGGGCGCGTCTCTTTGGGCCTCTTGTCTTTCTGATGCCAACATATCGGTCTTTCCAGGCCTCTGTTTCACATCTCCTTGTCACCATCGACGAGTGTTTGATGAGGGTCTGGCGGGACTCGCAAGACTGCGACCTATATCATGCAGGGTAATTAATATATACATAGTAAGGCTGGGTGGTATCGGCTGGCACCCCCCGGTCAACGAGGGCCGTGTCTTGCCATCGACCCGAAGGCATCCAGATGCCCGTGTCCCCTTCATTTCCTCATTCCCATTCCGGACTCTCGGAACTTCGCCTTGGGCTTGTTGCGCTGCTGCTTCAGTCCTTCACCCGTTCGTCTGTCTGTCTGGATCACAGCCTCTCGGGTTTCTCCCCTCTTCTACCATACCCCCCCGCTCCGTCAGCTCCGTTCCCCATCACTTCTTTGCCTTGACTCTCTGGCGGTTGCAGTCTAGTTGCTGCGATGTTGCAGAAAGCAGGTGTTCCAAACAGAAATCCGTCAGTTCGGACGTGTTGTGCTCGAGCCACATCTCCAACACCACCTCACCTCATACGGTCACTTGCTTCTGCTTCTGCTTCTTGCCTTGCCTTGCGTCGCAAGTCTTGTTCTCTGAGCCAATCGGCTTCTTCCACACTCTTTTGGGTCTTCTGCTGATACCACTCTCTTCTTCTTTTGCTTCCTAACGCACGGTCTGGTTGCCTGTTCTTCGTCTTTCTTGGGCTGTAAGCTGCAAGCTCTTTGCCTCCACCGACACGCATCTGACAGCCAAGCAGACAGACTGGTTGCCCTTCTGCATTCAACAGACATCGAAATCAGCCCGTAGCTTCTGTCCTGTGTCCCGCTGCTCATTCCTGGAACCTGGATTTCAACAAGAGAACCTGGTACATTTGGCGTACCTAATAAAATCCAAGCTATCATCACGACTGTTCGGAGGACTCACCCTTCCCATATTTTCGGCCCTCCTTTCCTCGGCGCCCTCGACACGCTGACCTACTTACCTGCAAGGCTGTGCCTGATCGACGACTTCAGACGTCACCTCCTTTACACCAAGTAACGGCGTACCTACGGAGTCCCTGCGTCTCCCCGTCCGTCCCACAAAGCTGAAACACCATTGGTCTTCTGGGGGCACACAGCATCTGGTCGTACTCTACCATCATCAACTCACCTCAGATTTCCAAGGTGCCCACTTTGTTCACTTCCCTTCTCTTCCGAGCCGGCTCCTTGCCGGTCGTTTGGCTTCCGTTGCTGCAGATTCTCGGCCGTACGCGAACCCCAGCAGCTCAACTTGGATCTTCATCATCTACGCATCCACACATCATCGTCATCCACTCATCCATCCCCTTCGTCTACTCGACTAGAAGCTTTGCTTCGCCACGCATCTGCAGCGGCCGGGACAGCAATACCATCCTGGCAAATTTCGGGTGATCCTGGCAGGTACAGAATCTTTTCCGACTCTACTATCATTCATTCTTCTCCATATGGGAGCATTGGATAGTTCACGACTTTGAAAGCTCTTGAGGTGTCGCCAAGACGTCCATGCACAAGCTGTAAGTGGTCTTCAAATTCTCCCCTCCCCCTTGGCTCGGATGTCTAGCACTCCCTTTCTTGCCTTGGGCAGTGCAGCAACATTCTTGTACAGTGGTTGGATCTTATGGCAGAAAACAACAAACAATCTATAGAGAAGCTGGCCCCACAACATAGACATACTGGTCTTGTCTCTGCTTATCCCATGTTCCTTGGTGTACAGACATTGACTGACTCTTCTCCATGTTTAGATCCTCTACGCATTTGAACTCGCTCGGCCAGGATCTATCCTCCTCAAAGTAACTTCAGATTTCCAGCCCAGTAGCAGCGCTATTTGTCAGGCTCATCCCGCGCGTCACGGAACAATTTCTTGGTTTTCTGTCCGGCAATTTCAGAAACCAAACCCTCGTTCGTTTGTTGCGGATACTTACACCCAGAAACCGGTTCCACAACCTTGCCTTTAGAGTTATACTTCGACCCGTTTGGAACATCCCAGCTATATCAGAGTCAGGGAGCTGGTATTGTGTGACCTCCCGGGGGGCAGGAGAATTTCGGTTACGAAGGGCCGTCCTACGTTCGCCCTTCAGCTCTTTGAAACCCTTTTTTTGTCCCGGGGAATAGCGAGGCTCTGGTGTGTGATTGCCTTTTGGGTTTATACACCGCCGAGTGGGTAGTTTTGGTCACCTGGAAAAGAGCTTGGTACTTCTCGATCGAATGCGAAATCAATTGTGGTGGCTTCACATAAATGAAATCTCAAAATGGGAGAGACATGGACCGACAGCCACAGCTAGGATCTGCCAGGAGGGCGAGAGAACAGGCTGGGCTAAGGGAGGGTCCTTCAATTCGGAGGGTAGAGGCAGAGGACAATGAGCCTCAGATAGCCCAGCCCATCAGGGCGCGAACAGCAGGAGCTGGGATGCAACAGCAACAACAACAATCGCGAACTCGACGGCGACCACCACCGGCAGGACTTCAGACAAGGGAAGGCGGGATCGGAATAGCCATCTCTAGACCAATTCCGGTGGTTCCACAATGGCCATTGGCATCACAAACCGCAGTTCCTCTCACTGGGCAGGGGCAAGATCCATATCGACCTCCAGTTGGAAAGTCACAACCACCAGTGCGGCCACCGCGACCGAGTAGAGTGCCTTCGATTTTGGACAGCTCTAGAGTGCAGGACCCCACGCCAGTCTCAGGCTTTCAGTATAGGGGACCACAGCAAGGTGGCATGGACCAGCAGCAAGAGATCCTGTCCACCGTCCCCGAGACGACCCCTTCCCTTTCCCGGTCATCCACGCTTTCGTCGTTGGGGACCATTCCCGACTTCCCGCTGCCCGGCCAAATGCCTGCACCACCTCCACCTCCACGACGAAGCGTCATTCTCGGACCACCGCCCTCATCCAGACGCGGAGCGTCATCCTTCTACTCAAATGCCTCCTTGGTGTCGCCCATCCCCGAAGAAAGCCCAGGAACACAATCGAGATCTCACACGTCCTTTGCGTCCAGCGCGGCAATACCCGACAACTGGGGCACCGTTTCCCCGGGACTCAGCCCACAGTATCCCTCTACTGACCACGAGGAGCACGTCATGGGAATCCACAACGACAATGGAAATGCACCCCCGGGATACGAGGAGGATGCCGAGGACAGTCGCCTGGTCAGGAACGCGAGTGTGGGGAAGAGGGCGAAGCCTACGTTGGTGGCGGCGACAAGTCCACGCGTTGGGAAAGGAGCAGGGGGATGGGCCGGCGAGAATCCAGGGACTGATTCCGGTCCGGCGACTCCTGGTACGCCCTTCCGGGACCCCTTCGCAACGGGGACGGGTTATATCGAGAACTCCAGCTCGTCGAGTACAAAGACTCCGCAGATCAAGACACCTATCGGCTCGGCTATCACGACAGATGCGATCTTGGATGCGTATAATAGTGCCAGCTCGTATGATCCAACGTCGTCGTCGAATGAGAGGATGCCTGGAGGACGGACGTACAGTCGGTTTTCGGCCATTAGGAGACCTCCGAACCTCGACATGGATGCTGTCCGCAAAGCTCAGGCCAGGGGAAGTTTGACGAGTCTTTCGGAGCTGATACGGCGAGCAACTCGGCTGGAACAGAGTCTGGAGAACGGCAAAAGACCCGCGAGTAGGATCGAGGACCAGCTGTATGACGAGTTTGGGCACGAGAAGGACATGTCTGGTAAGATCACCTTCAACTAACTTGTCTGACTCCAAAGGGACCAATGCTAATAATCTCTGCAATAGCAGAAAACGAAAAACACCAATCCGGCTTCTCCGACATGCTCGCCGCCTTCCCACCTCCCGCCCAGCCGCGAATCCCACCCCGCCGCTTCCGTGACTCCCTCCGAGACCAAATCCAATCCTGGCCTCTAGCTCTCACCCGCTCGCCCCACAACCACCGCGGCGACGGCAGCGACCAACCCCCTACCGATCCCAGCAATGGCGCCCAACGTGCCAACAAGAGACCCGGGCGACGCATCTGCCGCCTGCCCGTCTGGGGCTTCATTCTTCTCCTCTCAGCCATTGTCCTCCTCACCGTTGCCGCCGTCGTCATCCCTCTCGAATTTCTTGTCCTGCAAAAACACAAGGGAAACGGGTCCGCCCAGCAACAGCTGCAACAATGCCAGCAACAAGTGACGTGCGAAAACGGTGGGACCAACATCGTCTCTCAGGGCTTCTGCTCCTGTATCTGCCGGAACGGATTTACAGGTTTCAATTGCAACGCCACCGCCACGTCGGGGTGCAGCGCTATGACTTGGCCCGGACTTGACGGGAACGGGGCCACGGTAGGGGCGGCCATCCCGCGCTTGGTAGCCGATGCGTATCGAAATTTCTCGATCCCTCTTAGCGGGTCAGAAATAGTGGCCAAGTTCAACGGGGAGGGTTTGTCCTGCGACGCGGAGAATGCCCTGGTGACGTTCGATAGCAGAGCGCTGAGGCAAGGGGATGCGAGGAGTCAGGTGGTCAGTTTGGATACGACTAATGATACCAATGGAAACGGAAATGGGGGCGCTGATGTGAATGCGGCTAATGTTATTGTGGATGGAGTGGAAATTACGACCATTTCGATTTTGGTCGGGCAGTTGACGACGATCACGCTGCAGGCGCCGTTGCCGGCTACGTCGGTGCCGGCGGCTTCGACAAGTGCTGCTGGGGGAGGGAGTGATGGAAGTGGAAGTGGTGGGAGTGGAGGAGGATCGGGGAGCGGTGGTACCGACGGTTCTGGTAATGGTGATGGAGGAGATGGCGGCGGCAACGCTGGCGGAAATGGATCTGGTGATACCGCTACGGCTACTGCAGGAAGCGGCTCAGGCTCGGGATCTGGTTCAGGATCTGGTAGCGGAAGTGGTTCAGGCTCCGGTGATGGCTCCAGCTTCACCACTATAACTACAACGGGCACGACCTCCGCCAGCTCCACACGAACCATTGCGACCACAATGACCATGGCCTCCCAGGCTCCCGGCGCCAACTTCGCCGTTACCGAAGAAATCCTCGACTTTGCTAGGGTCGCAGTCCTCTACATTCTGCAGGAGGAAGACCTCAACAGGGCCGAGGAAGCGCAGACGGCCATCCAAAAGGTGTTCTCCCAAGTCAGCGCGGCGATCATCAACGCTGGAAACAAACCTGTCAGTCTGGATACGGCGAAAAATGTTACCGTGGGGAATGGGAACTCGGTGGATTTTGTAGGGTTCAGAGTTGATGTTGGCAATGGGTTGGTGGGGGGTGAATCGCATCCTACGAGGCTACGACGGGCAGAGGGGGTGTTGGGGTGGAACTTTTTGCAATGAGGCATGTTGTTCGATCCTGTTGAAGGCAACGATTGAATATTGGGTAACGCAGTCACCGAACGAACGAACGAACCCGTGACGAGAAAGACTGGGAATTTTTGCACATTCACACGCGCATTCGAGCCACATCTACTTTCTCTGACTCGAGCTCACAGGAGCAAAGAACGTTTGAATATCTGGTTCTTACGAAGCAAAAAAACTGTTATTCTTTTTCATCTCCCCGTCTTTGGTCACGCATATTAATTCCCTCGCTTTTTACCATGTATTAGACATATCTTTACACATCTTTTTTTTTTTTCTTTGCTTTGGTTTATGTATTATGGATGGATGGATGGATCGCATGGTATGGCATGGTCACTGGCGCGAGCGGGACCGGGAATAGGGACACTTCTTGATTTATATATACACCGACACCGACACACTACGAATGGAATGGCCTTTCCTCTTTTTCGTATGCCCTTTTTTTGTTCTTTTTGGCAGTTTCTGTTTGGATTTCGCCATGGTGGTGTATAATGAGGGGGATGGTTTAGATAAAGTCAACTGCGGTTGTAGGAGTACTAGACGACAAAAGCTGATAGCGTTCAAACGACAAAAAGTTGGTTTCGTCCAATCTGTCCAATCATCTTGCGAATACCGTCCGAATTGGGAAGGCTTGATGCTGTAGCTGCGGAGGTGATGGAGTCTTTTTGCTGCAGCTTGGGTTGGTGGAGCCCCATACGTACATACGTACCACTGCAGCTTGAGGTTCACAGCAGCATATCGAGACGTGATGATTACAGACTTGTGATATTTATGGTTGCGTCTCACTGTCGTGGCGATCATACGAACATGAATCGAAAACCAAAGCACAAAGCAAAATAAAGCGGTTGGGGCTTACTGAACCTGCGAAACATGCAGCAACCTTCTACAAGCGTGGCTATGCCCTGACGATCACCTGACGCTTACGTATGCTTTCATTTCACTTGTGCTTCATTCAACGTTCCCTACATGACAAATTACATGAGACCACGTTCGCCTGTCGAGAATATGGCCAAAGGTTTCATCATTTCTGTCATGGGCGAGGACAGACCGCTGGGGATTGCTTGGATGGCCCCATTTAAAGCCTACGACTGTGACGCGTAATTGGCTCCGCTCCTTTGTTCCGGTTGGCCCGGGCGCCGGCTTGATCGATTGGCTATTATTACACTAACAGGCCGCTGAGGCGAAACATGAGGCGGAAGTGTTTTGGGGGGGGGGGGCTTTCCATTCCATTCACTGGCCTTCATTCTCCCAACGAACCAAACCATAGTGTGGTTCTGGATTGAAAGCTAACAGAAACTGTCTTATTTCGTTTCATCTCTCTTTCCAACAAGCCGCCATCTTCTTTTTTCCACTCATTTTCGTCTTTCAACTACCCTTACTGTCCAGTCTGCCGAGGACTCGTAATCAATTGTACGTCATTGTACGTGTTAGTGCCCAGCTAGCAGCACTTACACTGCCCATTTCCCCCTTATCTGGGACTTACACTACACACCTCGTTTTTCGAACTTCTTCCATTCAACCAACAAACAACAACCGATCTTTCAGCCACAGTCACCGACAACACCATGATACCCAAACAACTCACCACCGTCGCCGCATTCTCGGCCACCCTCCTCTCCGCTAGCGGCGGCGTGTCCGCCTTCCTCATTCCTCCCGAGCTCTCCGACACCGACATCGCCTTTGCACAAGAAGTCGCTTCCGAAATCAACAACCCTCCCGCTGCCACCGGCCTCGACCCCATTACCGCCGCCGCCTCTCAACACCAACTGATCGAGCTCGCCTGCCCCGGCTGCCCCGTCCTCATCAAGGACCGTCACCACAACAAGCACCACCCCAAGGTCTTGACCGATAAGCCGAACCACTTGGAGCTGGACTTCAAGATTGATCACAGCGCTGGCACCGCGGGAGGGGACAGGTTACTGGTCAACGGGTTCGAGCTATTTCCCAATGCTGATCCGTTGAGGGCAGAGTTATGGGCTGGACAGATTTTGGAGGGGGGTGGTGCTCCGAAGCCTTTGCGCGACGACAAGGAGTGGGTTGAGAAGATGGAGGAGGAGGACGACGACGACCAAAGTGACCACGATGATTCCAATGACCACGAGAAGCAACAACAACAACAAGAACAACAACAACAACAACAACAGGACGACGATCATAAGAAGCAGCACAAGAACAGGAAACACAAGAACCGCAAGCACAGAAACCGCAAACCCAAAACCCTCCCGCAAAACCTTGGGTTCGGCCTTCGCACCTCTTTGCCTCAAGTTTCTACCGACCCCGCTGAGCAGGCTACTGCCGCCGCTAACCAAGAAGTCATCGATCTGAACTTGCAAATCGTCGAGGTCGGCAACGCCTTTGTTTCGGGAATTCCGAGCGTGGAAATCAAGCTTCTGAGGGATTCGGTGACGCAGAAGTTGATGATTGGGAACATTGAGACTGCTGCCTCGAACGAGGACAGCGGCGTTCCGGTGCCTTTTATGGGCGTTATTCCCGACCCAACGAAGCAGGAGCAGGAGTGTGATAACTTCTTGTGTCGTCTTTTGGAAGGGTTCAGGGAGAAGGTGAAGGAGGGTAAGGAGGCTTGGGGGAAGAAGATGGGAGGTTGCCATGGCGACGACGATATGGAGCATGGTATGATGATGCCCGCTAAGGAGGAGGAGGGCAGTGAGCGGGAGATGCCAGTGGTGGAGATTGATGTGGAACGGATCGACATCACTGAGGGTCAAGACGGTACTTGGGAGATTGTTGCTTCCCCCGTTCAGGAGGACGTCGAGCAAGAACAGAAGATCAAGAACCTACTTGATGAGGTGCCCCAGCAAGAGTCCGAGGAGCATGGTCACCACCATGGCGGCATGCACCGCTATGAGCACAGCTGGGGCCAGTTGCTCAAGAGCATCACTACCCATGTTCTGTTGCCGGTGCTGGTTGGTATTGTTGCTGGTGTGTCTGTTAGCTTGTACGTTTTTATTTCCGCTTTCCCCCCTGTCTCTGTTCGAACGATCGCTAACATTACGAAACAGCATCGGCATGGCCGTCGGAACCCTCATCGTCGCTCTCTACCGCTTTTTCTACCGTCGTGGTGGCTGCAACGGTCAAAAGTGCCGTCGCCGCGGTGGTGCTGGTTGCAAGCGTGCTCAGCGCCACGGCAAAGACGAAGCTGAGGCCCCTGTTGAAGAGAAGGCTGGTTTGTTGACTGCGCAGGAGCCTGAGGCTGAGGTTGAGGCGCCCCCGGCTTATGAGGATGCCAAGGTGGCCGAGGAGGGGGAGGTTAAGAAGTGAAGATTGACTCGACTTGAGTGTTCTGCATGCCGTTTTGAAACAACAGGATGGGAGGAAGTCAGGAAGGAAATCAGGAAGAGAGAAAGGGTGATACAATATGTGATACCATACGATTTGTGGAAGCGGAAGGATGAGATGGATGGTCAAGCTACACCAGATTGTCACGCACATAAAGCAAATAACTGACTAGGTACGCCCCTTGGGGCAAATACCATTTCCATTTGCTGTACACAGTAATACCAGACATATGTCTGACCACTGCTAGCTCGCTTGGGTTGATGGGTGATACTATTGTCATGATGTTATTGTGATGCTAGTAAGGTAAAATCTTTTTTTCGCTAGGCCTGCCTTTCTGCCCTCGCCCGGGCGGCGGAAAAAAAAAAGTTTCAATGTGGTTGCCCGTAATCCAATTCTTTGCTTTGTCCGCTCCTTGTTCTTCCCAATGATAAATTGAAACCCCATATTCTGTTCGTCGCTCATGGCCAAATCGGTTGGTCGGTTGGCGACCGGCCGGTTGAGTCGTTACCTAATTACACGCCAACTTCTCCAGTCGACGAAGCGATGCAGGTTTCTGTCCCCTTACACCATCCCCTGCCCCCTCTCAGTTCTAGCCCTTCTCCACCTTCCCGCCCACGCCGCAAGACCCTGAAGGGGAACTTTGATCATGACTTCGTATGCATCCTTCCAACCAAGTTCCGGCTCTTCTTCCTCTTCTGGTTTTTCGGTAGAGGTGGTGGTTATGGACTGTTGCTCTTGGCAGAGGTAGTTGAGCCTGTTGATGTCGAGCCCGGTTTCGAGCTCGGGGAGGAGGTTGAAGTTGATCGTGGCTGTGCGGGGACCGAGGAGGTTGGGGTTGTTGTTGTTGTTGATATTGTTGGAGGGGGTTGAGTTGTTGGTGAGGAAGTTGGTTGCGCTGGCAGATGATGGAGACACTGGCGGCAGTGTAGTAGTACTTCTGGTTGTGGTAGGTTGAGCCGTAGCGGGAAGTGGAAGGCCGATGGCGTGTTGCCCTTGATGATCGGGTGCGGAGGAGGCGTAGCTCGATAGGGTGCTGAAGCTGCCAGCCCCTGGAGAAGACATCTTGGGCGTTTCTTGAGCAGTTCTGTACTTATGGATATGGAATATACTACCAAGTATTTGATAGTGTTGTTGATGTCAAGTAAAGCGAATGAGGACAGGCCAGGTTTGACGGATCGATGTTGGGTTCGTGATTACCTAGCGAGCGGGAAGCAGAAGATGGAAAGTGCACTTTTTTTCGAGCCTGAAGTGGTTTCCTTAGTTTTCAAGTGGTTTGAAAAAGCACTTTGATACACACGAGCGGGTTACCTCTAGGTAGGGGTATGAAGCCCGGGCCTGCCTTACCATGTTTTGAAGCTGCATTCAGGTGCTTCACTGCACAATCAGGAGGAGTGGCTAATCACCGCACAGAAGCAAGGCTTTACTTTCAACTCAGCAAACGAATATAAAGACTGGAGTTATACACCACCGACATTCCCAAGTAACACACAGCCTGGTGAATCTCACATCTATGGACCATCAGGGTGTTTGTAGTCCGTCTTCAAGATGACCCCCACGGTCCCTTAGCAACCATCCATCACTTACACGACCCCTGGTGCCAAGCATTGGTGGGGCGGCACTCAGGAACTGCACCCAGCGGCCCCGGCCGTTCGGATGGAAACGCCCCACACCCACCACCAGCGGCAGCGGGGCATCGCCCAGAACTGGACTTTGATCGGAGCAAAACAGCAGCTCCACCGAGAACTTGCTTTCCTGTGTCCGGCAAATGACGAAGTTTGTCCGCATCTTTCCCCAGCTCCATTTCCGTCACATGCCGCTCTTTGTGGTTGCTTGTTGTTGTTGTTGTTGTTATTAGCAGCAGCCTCCGATCCGTTCTCTCAGCCACCACCACACAACTACCTACAGTACCTATCTACCTCTTCGGCCGATCAATCAACCGACCGACGAAACGAGCAAACGGACAATGGCGGCCAGCGGGAGCATATTCCAGTGCCTCCTGCGCACGTCGCAACAGAGCTTGGGAAAGAGGATAATCCTCCAAAGACAAACAGCGACAGCCCAAGCAGCAGCTGCGACGCGATTCACGTCAACTCGACTCGGCAAAAACGCTGCCTCTACTCCCCGCCGCCAATTCACCACCTCGTCCACACGCCGACAGACTCAACAACCCGGCGATGATCCCAACTTTACTTCCATCCTCGATAACCCTCCCGAGCTTGTGCGGACCGGCAGGAGACATGGCAAGGGTTTGATTATCCTGGGTATGTCCTGATTGAGTCCCAACCATCTACAGTCTCAGCATGCGCTACAGCCGTAACACTGACTAACGCATTTACCTCCTCCTCCTCTTCACAGCCATCATCCCCATCACCGCCCTCTTCCTCGGAACCTGGCAAGTCTACCGACTAAAATGGAAGACGGACCTAATCGCCAAATGCGAAGACCGCATCATCCGGGACCCTCTCCCCCTTCCCCCCCGCGTGGACCCGGCCGCCATCGCCGACTTCGACTACCGCCGCGTCTACGCCGAGGGCGTCTACCGACACGACCAAGAGATGCTGATCGGCCCGCGCATGCGCGACGGCGAACAAGGCTACATGGTTGTTACGCCCCTGGAGAGGGGAGATGATCCGAGCTCCAAGGTGCTGGTCAACAGGGGGTGGGTGAGCAAGAAGTTTGCAGACCAGAGGAGCAGGCCGGATTCCGTCAAGCAGGGCGAAAAGGTCCGTGTGGAGGGCATGCTGAGAGAGCCGTGGAAGAAGAACATGTTTACGCCGGACAATAGGCCGGATATTGGCGAGTTCTACTTCCCGGATGTGAAGCAGATGGCCGAGTTGACGGGCAGTCAGCCGGTGTGGATTGAGCAGACTATTGGTGGGTATCTCTGTTTTCTTCCCTGCCAGTTATGGACGTGGCTGGCCGGGCCTGCGTCCTATAATGATATAATGGCTATTCTAGCTAGGTATGGGGCTAACGTATGTTTGTGCGCAGTTCCCGATATTATCACCGTCTACGACTACGAGGCTCGTGGTATCCCTATCGGTAGAGTCGCCGAGGTCAACCTTCGCAACAACCATGCGCAGTACATCTTTACATGGTATGTTCCTAACCAATGCTTCACTTCCCCTCATTTCTTGACGTACCCCTGCGGTATTGCATATCAGTGCCCGACTAACTGGTACTCAGGTACGGTCTCGCTGCTGCCACCTCCATCATGTTCTGGCTCGTGGTTAAGAAGCCCGCGAACCAGATTACCAAGCGCGTTCGCATGAACAAGAGCTGGTAAACATGAGTTTGTGAGTGGGCAGTGATAGCTTTGCTTTGTCACACATCAATGGTGACAAACACTCTCACGTCACCTCTTCGTCTTCGCCGCCAACCCCAGCACGGCTAGAAGAGGCAGCCTTTCGGCGCTTCTTGACCGGAACAGGCGGCGTCATCCTCAGTTCCTGGAGGAGCTCTCTAGGAAGGTATCGTTGCGCCAAGGCAAACGGCGTGGTTTGGGCGTTGGTTTGACGTTGTCTATAAAAGAAAAATTGTAAGTCAGTCCGTCGTGTACAATAGCTCAAAAAAAGTGTACAAAGAACACTACACAGGATATAAACAATCGGATACCCAGGGATCAAAACAAAAGCACCAAACATACCTCTTCATCAATGTAAGCATATCACTCATATCGATAGTCTTGCGATGTGCGTGCTTTGCGTACGCCGACAAGTCATCTCCCAACTGCTCAAAGAACCAGTCCGAAGCTTGCATGATTGCCTTGAGCGCTTCAGGCGAGATGTTCCCCTTCGCGCCGCTCGTCTTGGCGAATGTTTGCGCCAACCGCTTGACCATGGCCGGAGGCAATGATGTGTACTCGATACCGTGTTTGGATATCTTTTTGGTGGCTTTGATCTTGGAGAAGCCCCCTCGTTCACCATCCTCTTCCCGAAACAATCCGAGTTTCTCCCGCGCCGCCGAAGCTGAAAGTGACACCCTCGCCGCTGTTGGTGTGTAGCCTGATAATCTCGTCATCTCCTCATCCGAGCCTGCCTGGACCTGGTCGTCTTGGTTGTTATCCAGATCCATACCCATACCGTTGTCGTTATCGTAATCGTCGTATGCTGGTCCAACATCATTTCCATCATCGTCATTGTTGTCGTAACTGTCGCTCCTCTGGTCCATCAACTCCGCGAAACCTCCACCTTGGCCGCTTGTTGCCGCCGCTTCAGCAGCTTGACCCATCTCAAACTGCCTCGTAGGCGAAGCAATCATAAACGTGCTCTCGTCCATCCCCACCGGCACCTCAATGTGGAAATCACTATCCCTCCCTCCAGCTCCAAGCAGCAGCCCCATCCCCCCTTCCCCACCGATCGTCTCCCGTCTCCTCGTCTCGTCCGAGTCCAGCCTGCTGAACTCATCCGGTATCCTATCCTCGGCATTTCCAAAGTCGTCCTCATCAATTGCAGCAGGCGGAAAGAACCCCGAATCGATCCCATCACTCTGTTGTTGTTGTTGTTGTAGTTGCGGGAAATCACTCAACCGCCCCATCGAATCCCTCATCCTCTGCTGGTCCTTCTCCGGATCCACCCGTCTCGGCAACTCGATACTCTGCACCGTAAAGTTCTCCGTCAGATCTTCAAGCCCTGCACTCCGATGTGGTTGCGGCAGTTCATCATCATCTTCCCAATCATCGCCCTCCCCATCCCCCGCCCCTAACCCCAAGCTGAGTCTCGGCCTCTTAGGCAACTCCTCCTCCTCTTCATCCTCATCTCCATACCTACTCCGCGTGGATATGTCAAAGGTCAACTCCTCTGACGTGTCCCCCTCCTCTTGCTCTTGTCTTCCCCCAGCAGCAGCAGATCCAGAAAGCGCCGAAGCAGGACTCGAACTACTACTCGGTATCCTCTCACTCTTGGGCGCCAAAACTTTGCCTAACTGCAGCAGGAAGTTGCGCGGGGTCTCGCGGGCTTCGCGCAACGAGCGCCGGCGCGCATGGTGAGGCGTGAGGATGGCGGCGCGTCGGGAGTCGATGGCGCGGTAGGCGGCGCGGACATGGGGGGTCGCGTTGGGGTTGGGGGTGTTATGTGCGGAAAGGAGGAGGCCGCGGGGGGTGCGGGCGCCGGGGGTGTATGCGCGGGCGTTGGGGCCGGGGGTGTAGGCTCGTGGGAGAGCTGGTACGACGGAGAGGCCGGGAGTGGTTCGGACGGGGATTTGGGAGGAGGAGGAGGGTTTTGAGGGGGTTCGGGCTGGTCGTGATGGTGATGGTGGTGGGTTGTTGGGGTCGGCCATTTTGATGGGAGGAAGGCCGGGCCTGGCCTCGTCTGGCGGAGAGGATTGCGACGGATGGGATGCGATGAGGTGGGCGTCGGTGTTAGAGATGGATGGTGGTGGTGATGATGGTGTTTGGAATGCGCTGCAGCAGTGTCGCAAGCTGTCCCGCCTGGGAATTGTTGCGATGTGTGGCGCAGGCTTCTAGCATTACAGATTTGTGAAGCTTCAGTTGGCCCGATGTGTTGTGAACCTCGATGACGACGAAGTTCGGGGAGCAGCAGACGCGACGACGCGTTTGGGCTTGCCAATTGATTGTAACGGGTGCACTTTCGCAAATGGAACCCGACAACGGGGGGTGTTGATTGCATCGGCCCCGCTTTTCTTCGAGTTCCTTGTGAATGCCGGGCCTGCCCCCCCGGCCGCCGTTCGCCTACCCCATAATTCCGCAGTGGGGCGGGTGCGCCCGACGGTCAACGCCCGGACCACAAAGGTCCCGTCGCCAGGGACTTGCCCCCTTGGATCATTACCTTGATCTCCATTCTCCACGAGTGAGCGTCCTGCTGATCTTGCGGTCGTTGTGTTTCCGAGGTTGCAAAAAGTCTCGCTTGTTTTGCTCAACTTGGCTTGGGCCATCCGTACTCACGGCAAAGCGGAGTGATGTGGTGTACGGAGTCAATGTCGGCTTCGCTTAGTTTTGGAAACACTCTATCTACGTCACAATGCTTTGGACACTGCGGATAGGTTACTGTGCACAAGGCTCCCGTCCCGTTGTAACGTCCACAGGGCTCGCCCCGACGATACAAGTACACCGCCAAAAGACGGAGGTTCCGTCCGATAAGGGGGATATCGCAGCCGCTGTCAATAGTGATGGCGATAACCATGTGGGAGCTTCGGTGTTTTCGTGCTCAGGCAATATCAGACAGTTCTATAACTTTTCCCACCTCCCGCCAGCCATTGCCTGAACTGGACTTGGCTAAAAGCAAGTCAGGGGCACCCCATACACTACAACGATGCCTGGCGCCTTTTTCATGGCTTGGCTTTCTTCCTCTTGGCGGTTGCTCTGGCTGGAGATATGTTACAGATTGTGCTTCAAGAGCCAAATCTCAGACGTAGCCATCCGTCGGCTGATTCTAGTGTCGCTGGACGTCTGTCAGTGGCCATTAGACTTTGGCGTGACAGCAAGCAGCACCATTTACTCCACTTGGGTCGAGTTGAAACCATTGTGTCGGCAATGATATCACCAACAGATCGAGCTTCTCCTGTCTCTTGATCCTTAGTTTCGAAACGGGTGAGTTCGGTCACCGGATGCTGATTTCCCCTATCCTCCGAAGGCCAAGACTTTGCAACAAACAAAGCCCCTGATATGGATATCTGGTTAGCGCCTTGCTTCAAGTGTCCCAAAGCATTTAGTACTCTGTTGCTTGCTGCTTCGAGCAAAGAGATCTGGTCTTGTCTTTGATTACCACGATGATTGAAGCATTTGACGCCGAGGTGTGAGGAGACTTTGACCAACTCCCCAATCGAATGCCATGCCGCCGACAGGAAAAGAATGATGGGATCTGAAAGGCTAAATAGCGGTCCACTTGATTTGAATCGCCAGACGGGAGAAACGGGCTACCCTGTGGTTCAGTGCGACTTCCCCCGCCACGCCGCCACTTGTTGCAGTGACTGGAGGTGGGAAAGGGACAGTGCGCATTCCCCTTTGGTCTGTCTGGGCAAGCACGCAGTCCGTCTCTTGAGATCGATATTATCTTGAGCCGTGCTTTTGAGCGCACATTGTTGTTAGGTAGTGATTGGTGGTCTGTCTGTCTTTTGTCACTGTCAGATGAATTGACCCAACCATCTACTGCTACTTGACCATCATCACTTCTTCGTTACCGCAGTACACTGCCAAGTACTCGGGCTGCCAGACTGCAATAAGTAACGAACCAAAGAGTAGGACCAGTGGTGAGATGGCACAGCAGCGACTCCAGCGTCACAAAGAAGCTACTTCCCAGACCGTGATACAATAAAGTAACAGCCGTAAACCCTGCCCGACTCCCGTCCCCAAGCACTGACCAGTGACGGGGCTACATCGGCATGAATGGTGGCAGCCAGCGACCAGCCAGCGGCCACCAACCAGGGCACTGGGCTTTAACGGGCGCCCAGTCCAGGCGCGCCCCAGGGCAAATTCCCAGCCTACTCCCTGTCTCCGCCGCCCGCTTCCCGCCTCTTGAACGAGGAGGACCACTTTGGCAAGACCAGTGCACCATACAGGGAAGTCCACAAGTGCACCACACCTGTGCTGCCAGCCTCAACCGATTGCACCGACCGACCCAACCCTTTTTTTTTCTGTATCCCAACGACTTTCTGCCACTCCGATCCGTCACTGCTGCTTTCACATCGACTACAACAACATACCAAACCTCTAATCACGAGTCCCTAATACCAATCCCACCCCCAAACCATCTTTCTCAGCCATTCCCACAATGGCTGCTATCGGAGGCGTGCAGTCGATCAAGGTTCGTAGACCTCGCCAGTCCTCTCTCCGCTGACCTCCACCACCGCTCCGTATCGACACCGACACGGCCACCGCAATCGCTACCGTCCTCGTCGCGAATCCATCAAGAACCGCACAATGCTCACAAGAGAGATACTAACACTCGATTTTTTGCTTCTAGTGCGTCGTCACTGGTGACGGTGCTGTAGGAAAGGTAAACTCACTCCCACCGCTTCCCCTCTCAGAGTCACCGTGTCCCGCACCCCGCAAGGACTAACCCTTGATTGCCAGACATGTCTTCTCATCTCATACACAACAAATGCCTTCCCCGGCGAATACATTCCCACAGTGTGCGTTCAACCCATTCGACACTCTTATCTGCGATAACTAGGCCACCACTACCCCGGAAACTGACACGCGCGCTGCGATAGTTTCGATAATTACTCGGCGAGTGTTATGGTCGATGGCAAGCCCGTGAGCTTGGGTCTCTGGGATACTGCTGGACAGGAGGATTACGACAGACTGCGCCCGCTTTCGTACCCCCAGACCGACGTCTTCCTCATCTGCTTTTCGCTCGTCAGCCCTCCGTCGTTCGACAACGTCAAGTCCAAGGTGAGTAACTCTGCAATGAGGGGGGGGAGGGGACGCCACGCATATGGACCTACATGCTGACTTTTCCGGCAGTGGCACCCCGAGATCCAGCATCACGCCCCCGGTATCCCCATCATTTTGGTGGGCACCAAGCTCGATTTGCGCGAGGACCCCGATACCATTCAGAGCCTGAGCCAGAAACGCATGGCTCCGATAACGTTCGAGATGGGTGTCAACTGCGCCAAGGAGATCGGCGCGAGGAAGTACCTCGAGTGCTCTGCCCTTACCCAAAGGAATCTCAAGTCTGTTTTCGACGAGGCCATCAGGTAAGTCCACTGCCCACCCGACCCCTCTCAATCAGATAAGAAAACGAAACGCAATATGCTGACCCACACGAAACAACAGAGCTGTGCTCTACCGCGTCGATACGACCCAAGAAAAGAAGAAGTCCAAGTGCACTATCCTCTAATTAATTCACCACAACCAACCAAACCACACCAGACATACTACCACCATCACAACACCATTACACCAACGCTCATGAGGCCATTTACCGAGGGCGCAGCGCACGCCTTGACATCAGCACAAAACAACAGGGTGTTCCATGGGGATAATTGTGAGGGGACACCATCTATACCCGGCGGACATAATTAGATGTTGATGAGATTTTCTTTTCCTGGTTGTTCCGATCGTCTCGAAATAAACTCGCAAGCTGGTTTTCGTCTCTTTTTTTTTCTGTCTTTTCATTCTCATCTTTTTGGATCTATCCCTCTACTACTACTACCCCGAAGAGAAAGCAGAAGTGGACCGCTACGATCTCATCTATCTAGTGCCGACCGATGATGCTGGTGTGAAGTGCATCCATTCATCCTCCAAAGTAACGGATAGGGCGGCGGGCGTATAACATGCGACGACACTCTTTTTGCAGGCAGGTGATTATGGGGGGAACTGATGCAAGGAAAGGTCACAATCGGCGGGTATGGACGAGAAAAGGGAAGAAATGAGGGATGTGCCGTCGATCCCATGGTACAATTTCACTCGCTTGAGTAGAAGAGAATATACAAGGAGAGTCTAGGAGAGTGGGGGTGGATAGGAGGATCGTTTAGTGGAGGAAGGGAGGGTTAGACAGGACGAGAAGAGGAAAGAGTAGGACCGGGGCAAGGGGAATGTAGTCGTAGGTCGGTAGGCTAGATCGAGGGAGTGCCATGCAAACTAGTTCAGATCAAGCCGTGGTCCACTGCTTTTATGCGCTTTCTCTACGGACACAGATGAGTTCCGGTTCACCATAGCAGTTATCTACCGGGTCATTCTTGTACCATGTTTTGTGTCATCCAAGCTCTTCCATTACCGTTCCGTAAGTCGTCGATGTGAATACAACCTGAAAACGAAGGGCCGACATTTCATCCCGTGATCAAAAACCTCCATAATCCTTCTCTTACATAAGTTGAGTGATCGTGGAATCAGTCCCGGGCGACGGACTGGTCGAAGGTAAATCAAAGTTTACAATGATGGCTTTCTTCCTACATGCCTCGAGCCTCGTTGGTGCCTCTGTTCATCGAGTCATCGCATACAAAAAGGGGAACATCACATACAGTCAGTGAAAACTGTCGATTGAGGATGAGCGGCGCAGCAACAGAGGGAAACTCAATTTGATAGTCTGCAAAATATCAGTTTCTCCGGCTTTACCCATCCATCTATCAAAAGAAAAGGCTCGATGAAAGGCACGTATTTTGGGGTATCATAAAAGTTCCTTGCTCTCGGACTCCTTTTGACTGAACTTGAAGTCGATATGTATCCATTTCTTCTTTCCATCCCACACATTTCCTTGGATGAAACTGTAATCCGATCGTCAATGCAAAGTAATAATAGTATAAACAAAACGTGGACAACAACACGCTGATAACAACATGAAAAAAGAAAATGAAACAACGGACACCCCGCCAGGGAACCAAAAATCAGAAACCAACTGAGGTCTAGGCAAGATTCCCATCCAGAGGCGCTTTCAATGCTCAGACAAAGCATAGCAATAGCTTGTCCAAAACGTATTTCAGGAAGCCATGACCAATGCGATTCTCAAACCCCGGATCAAATCAGTCCAGCCGGAGTTTTCCCATCCCCAAGCCATCAACCGCTCCATAGGCCCTCAAACCGTCGCAGTAGCGAGTCCTACTACCACTTCTTGTAGCCACCACGACCACCACCACGACCACCACCGCGACCACGTCCACCACCACCACGGCCACCGCCACGGCCACGTCCACCACCACGTCCACGACCGCGACCACCAAAACCACCACCACCACCGCCACCACCGTACGAATCCTCCTCATCAAAATCACCACCGCCAGGGTTACCGTCGTATGCGACACGCGCTCTCCTCGAAGGGTGGATAGCATCCTCGTCGTTTCTCTCCGGCGCAGGAGCAGCAGCACCATCAGCAGCAGCAGCGTCACCGTCACCATTGGCCTTGGCAGCGGCCTTCTCCTGCTTAGCCTTCTCCTGATTCTGCTGGCGGTTCAGACGCTCCTCGTTGAGCTTGCGGTTCTTCTCCTTGATCTTGTCTTGGCGGTGGGCGGTCTTGCCTCCTCCGCCGGCGCTGTTGGTTTGGGCAAAAATAGTCATGTTAGTTAATTTTTTTGGTCTTTTGAAGAAGATAGAAAAATAAAAAGAGGGAGGGAAGGGGAGATGCAAGTTTTGGTGGGTAAAATAAAACGAACCTCAGCTCAACGTTAATCTTCCTCGGCACGCCCTTGTCATCCAACATTTCGCTGTGGTGGAACTTCTCGAGCGCCGTCTTCATGTGGTCGAAGCGGCCGAACTCGACAAAGGCGGTCCCCTTGGACTTGGTCGGGTTGTCGCGGTGGGTGAGCAGGCGGACAGAGATGGGGTGCACCGACGCGAAGTGCTCCTTGATGTTGTCGGCGGTGACCGAGTAGGGCATGTTGCCGACGAAGATGATGAAGCGGGCTCCCTTGGCGCCGTTGGCTTGCGACTGTTCCTCCTCGTTGGTGGCCTCCTCTCCACCATCCTCAGTCTTCTTCTCCTCGGTCTTGTCCTTGTTCTTCTTCTTGTCCTTCTTCTTGCTCTTCTTGTCGGTGGACTCCTCGGTCTTCTCCTCGGTCTTGGATTCCTCGGTGGCAGCGGCCTTGTCCTTCTTCTCCTTCTTGTCCTTCTTCTTGTCCTTCTTTTCCTTCTTCTCCTCCTTGGGCTCCTCTGTGGTCTCGGTCTTGGACTTCTTCTCCTTCTTTTCCTTCTTGTCCTTCTTCACTTTGGGGGCCTCAGTCTCGACCTTGGTGACCTCGGCGTTGCCAGACTCGTCGAGCTTGCTCTTCTTAACAACAGCGATGGAGTTGACATCCTCCTCGGCGGTGCGCGAGCGCTTCTTGGAGTCCTTGGTAGACTTGCCCATGTTGATTGGTTTTCGTTCGTTCAGCGAGGGCAATAATCTCAATTGATTTGAAGAGACAGATCCAAAGAATCGTTCTTGACAGCTGTTCTGGATCGTTTCACAAAATGGGAAAGGGAGGGAAGGAATGCCTGCTTCGTTTTCCCCGATTATTTTTTCTGCCGTTTCAATTGCAAAGGCGGAGAAGGATAAGAATTGGGGTCTCGCACTTCCACTCGCAGCGCGTGGAGCTCGTCCCGCATTGGTGGGGCCGTTCGCTGCAGCAGTGGAGAAGTACCCACCGAAATGCCATCCAAGGTCACCCCCAGAATCACTTATCTCCACCATTTTGTGATTCTCATCATCTTCAAGGTGTCAGCCACCTACAACATGAGAGTTTACAAGATCTCATAGCCAGTCCGAGCCATAGAAACGATCAGTTGGGAACTTGGAAGATGCTCACACTCACCTTCTCTTTCCCAATGCTCCGTTCCAAGTCCACGAACCACCGAGTCTCCTCCTTCGAGTCTTCCAGCAGGACCACCCTCGACCTCGAACTAGCACTCAACTCACGAGCTGCGTCTTTGTCGTTGCTTTGAAGGTTGCTTCGCCGTACTTTACCAACACTGCGGCGTTTCCCTCTGAGCTATGAGCCGCCGTCAGATGCATTGATGTGCGTTCATAGAGACAGTCTTTGGCTTCAACATCGGCCTGGGCTTTTATGACGAGGAGCCTGACAAGATGTTCACTATCCGGGACCCTAGGAACCTCGTGCTAAGGCGTACACCCGAGACGTCGCGGGCTAAAGTATCTGCTCTATTCTCAAGCACTGAGTCGGCAACCCTCGTGGACTGAGACTTCACAGGATAGTGAAGCGCAGACTTCTTCTCATCCGCAATACTCGTACCAGCGCCAGACTCTAGGGAGAGTTCGGCTACCGCCGGCTAATCGAGAGCAGCGGCCTACGCAAGTGCGATACGGCCAAACAAATCAATAATATCGAGAGAAAAAAGCTTAACCTCGAGGTATCGGGCACAGAGAGCGGGATTCTCTAGGGTTCGGACTATGGCGAGTTGTTAAGGCGGGAAGTTGAGCGTGCCCAAGAGCTCATCATCTTCGAATAGGCGGCGGATTTCAGAAGAAGTATCGACCCGAGAGACAGCCACAAATGCGGGCGCAACTTTTTCGATTGCTATAGTGGAGGCAGACACATCGGTGTGGTCCTCGAAATTCTTGTTCACGACATGTTCGAGCAGATACTCGCACATATCGGGTCGTTCAAGGTCGACAGCAAACTGCAAAGCCAAATAATCAGCGTCTAAAGACTCGCCGATATACAAACAAGCCTAGGGACCAGGATTACTCACATACCGGAGAGACTTGCCACCCGGGTTCACGTTGCAAGGCAACATCTACCTATCCTTAGCCTAGGACACTAACAAGCTGCTATACAGTTCCATAGTTGAGGATCCTCTTTACAGGCTCTGCGTTAGTCAACATCATCGGAATGTACAGAGTCTATAAGCCATAGGTACCCTGGAGGCTGCTCCTATCAAGTGAGAATTCTGGCTTAGAGCCCTGGATACCAGCGAATCCTATTCCGCTGGAAAAAGAGAGGAGAGAAAAAAAAAAAAAAGAATAAAAGAAAAAAAAAGAAAAAAAGATGTCTTCCGAATCCGCACCTGGGTCGAACAGGTACCTAACCCCAACCCACCCACTCTCCTATCAGGGTCCTGGAAGCAGGCCATAGCTTAATGCGTCCATCAAGGTATGCGCTTCTCGCCTGAACGGGAGGCCTAACACCGCGGCAGTAGACAGTTGCAGGCCTTAGCTCTCTCTTCTCCATCACAACAAGGTGCGTCCACCCGTAATCGAGTCAAGCTAATCCCAACAACTAGTAATACCGGCACAATGCTTGGGCACGTATGTACAGATCAGGTATTTCTCCGTCCCTGCAACTTCTCACAAACTGCTAATATGACTCTATGTGTCTCACCGAACGAGTTGCTAGAATGCTCCTCTGACGATAGTGGTAGCCGGTGTCATCTCTCTTTGGGGAATATGACCATACTCTGGATCAGGGAGTTGGAAAATTCCCATGTGACTGTTCCCGGTCCGGGTCGAACTGGGAACCTCGTGGTGGTAGCAGTCATACCGGTTTGTGGAAGTATGGGTTGAACAAGGTTGTGTGCTGCCCATTACACCAACGGACCACCGCGCGGGTGTGTGGAAGACTGGATGTGGTGGAAGGAAGGCCTGGAACTGGGATTTATAAGGGCAGAAACCACCACCGGTTGGGGCCGCCTGGGCGGATGAGACGGGACGGAAGGGGCGGCCGGCCGGTCAAAGCGAGGTGTGCCTGCCAGTAGGAAGCCGGATTGGGCGAACGACGGGTGCCGGGTGGTTGTCAGCTGGAAGGAGAGAACGGCAGAAAACATGTCCTTAGGAGGGAGCGAATACCTTGGAACTCGAAGATACCCCGGAGAGAATGATTCCACTACCCTCCAACATGGACGTAAATCGGGGATTTCAACAGCCAGCACGAGGACACTTGAGGAAAACATCCGGTTCCGGGACGACCACCGTGCAATGACAGATGAGCAGCCGCTAAACGGACCGCCCAGTCGGCATCCCTGCTGGCACTCGAATTAATAAGCATATTTCGTCGGGCGAGGGTTTAGTTAAGCTGTCCATCTATGTTCCCAGCCTGTGACACAACCCTGGGCTTTTCTCCTGTCCCCCGTTTCCTCCAGTCCTGCTCTGTCAATAGCCATTCCTGCCCCCCTTTCTTACCCCTCCCTCTCCTCTCCTCTCTCCCCAAAAACCCAGTCTTCACCTCTCAGCCCTCAAGCTCCTTCAAAGCCCTATCAACCATCCTCCCCACCTGCATCCACCTCATCGACAACAACCCCCTATGACACTCCCTCCCCATTACACCTTCATGTCCCTCCCCCCACTCCAAGTTATCCAACCCGTCCCGAATCTTCTTTTCAATAACATCTGAGCTCCATCGCTTCAGCGCTTGTGCCAGCAAGGTATTCAGCTTCGTCTGTTCCTCCGGTGATTCCTCCCACGGGTCTTGGCCGTAGTCGATGAAGGCCCGGAACTTCTTTTCACCTTGCGGCCCTGGACTGTCTGCAAGAGCGGCAAGGGCGCGAAGTGCGACCTGTGTACGGTAGCAGCCTGTGGGGTTGCGCGGATCGAGGTTGTAGTTGCCTAGGAAGCCAGTTTCCTCGAGGACTTCTTTGGGGGATTTTGGTGGTTGCTGTTGTGACGCTTGTGACTTGGGGTCTTTTTTGCCTCGTTCGTTGAGTCTTCGAGTTACTTTCCTTGGTGGTTGCTGCTGCTGTTGTTGGGATCGGGAGTGGGTTTGGGCTTGGTCGAGTAAAGGAAGGATGGCATCATCTATGCAGACTTCGTCCCAGACGTTTTCATCAAAGAGAAAGCCATATTCGATTAGGAGGAAATCGTTGGAGTGGTTACCGTAGCAGATGTAGACTTCTTCGCCGGCGGCGTAGGGGCGGGTGGTGGTGATGGTGAAGGCGGTCGGTGAGAAGGCGACTGAGCAGGTTTTTCTGTTGCCTTCCGTATCTTCGGCTGATGGGTCGTAAGAGGTGTGGTTAAACAGGTCTGCGACTGGCTGCAGGACCATTCTGTCTTCTTTATTGAACTTCTTCGTCTTTGGGGTTTCGTGGTAGAAGGTGCGGGTGTTGACAAGAAGCCAGGCGTAGAGGTAGTCTTCTCTTGTTATGCTCTTATTCAGTGTTCCGCATTCTTCCTCTTCCAAGCTCTTGTTCTCTTTCTGGCCAGGCTTTGAAGAGAGGAGCTGAGACTGTTGGACCATGGACCAGTCCTTCTCAAATTTGGCCTCCTGCTTTAGAAGTAGCTCCAGCGCCTTTTTGGGCAGGAACTGTCGTAGTCGGTGATCCCATGTTAGAGGCAAATAGTCCCAAATATCTTTACGCGAAGGACAGACGGCGTTCCATTGCCGGTACTTGGCGGACGGAGGAGGGTCAAAGGCAAGATCGGCAGCTAGGAGACCGTGGATGGAGATGTCCTTGGGTAGAGCACGGGATATGGAAGGGTGGACGGTTTCATACGTCCGAAGAGTGGTAGAGGGAACTGTTAGAATAGTTTCGTCTTCCTGATGATATTGTTAGTTGATCGAAACCAATAGTTTAACATGATGAAAATTACTTACCTCGAGTGGCTTTGTAGCCACTATTCCCATACCTCGGCCTGGTATCCGCCTGGGCTCGACGCCGTTGAGATTGATACCTTTATCTTTTGCCCATATGAGCAGCTCTTCGTATGCTTCCATATCGAGAGCCCTTATCTGGCTTTTTTCTCGGGTGTTCCTCTTCTTAACCTTCTCCTTTGCTGCTGCCGCTTCACGTTTCCTTTTTGCCATTTTGATCAGATACTGTGTAAACGTGATACGGATGGGGAGTAACCAAAAGAGTCAAGTATTTGTAACAAAGCCTTTAAGTTGGAAGATCAAATGTGAAGGCCAAAGAGAGATAAAAGATGATGTGTATTAAACCAGAAAAGCGTAAGTGAGGGTGAAAACAAAGGCATAAATCCCAGGGTGTCACTGCATCGTGTCAAGCAACCAGCTGAAACCTTCCACCTGTTCCCATTTCTCGCCTACATACCTGTTTCTAGAGACTATGGATCTCGATGAGAGGTCTTGGATGGAAGCTTGATTTCCTCTTTGGGAGTTGTTTGAGCGGGACTGGTCACACTAGCCCTTGCATAGGTCCAAGATGTTCAAGTGGTCGTCAAGAAAGAGCGAACTGAAGTGAAAGTTACGCAGTTGTCCTGTGCAACGTAATTTACGGTATTTATCATCTCCCACGGTGAATTGTCATACCTCGACTTTCACCGAGCAGGAGCTCCCCTCACCTTGAGCTACCGCGGCCCCTACGGTACGTAAGTCCTTATCGCTGTCGTTATCGCAGTTGTTACATGCTCGGTTTCCGCATCCGAACGGATCGAACCACCACTTACGTCTACAACTTGACAACCACTCGAGCTCTGGAGGAATTGCGTGTTCCTCGTCCATCCCCATCTCTACTCCAACCCTAGGGCTTCCTCCTGGTTGTCCGAATTGCGCTTGACAATGGAAGCGACGGCCCTCAGACGATCCGCGGCTCTTGTAGCTCGCGCCAGCGGCCAGAATGCAATCCGGCCTGCCGTATGTGCCGCCATCAGCAGCACATCACCAACACCACCGACCCAGATCCAGACACAGCAAACAAGACAATTCTCGGCCCTCAACCGCCCACCACCAAACTACCCTGGCCATGTCCCTCTCACTCGCCTCGAGCGCTTCGGCCTCTTCGTCGGCTCAGGCCTCATCTCCCTCGCCGACCCCCGGCGCGGCGGTCCGTTTCGTCCCCGTCCATCTCTCTCCACCTAGTCTCCTGTCCAACTGAACTAATCATCCTCTTGATGTTCCCACAGACCTAATAGCCTCCTTTGCCGAAGCCACCGCAACGCCCTACTTCATCTACCGCCTGCGCGACGCCATGCTGTCTCACCCCACAGGGCGTCGCATCCTGCGCCAACGACCGCGCATCACCTCCCAATCTCTCAACATCCCCTACCTGCGTTCTCTGCCGCCCAATACCGTCGGACGGACCTACATTGACTGGCTCGACCGCGAAGGGGTATCTCCCGACACGCGCTCGGCGGTGCGGTACATCGACGACGAGGAGTGCGCGTACGTGATGCAGCGGTACCGCGAGTGCCACGATTTCTACCACGCTTTGACGGGCCTGCCGATCGTCCGGGAGGGTGAGGTGGCGCTAAAGGCGTTTGAGTTTGCGAATACATTGTTGCCGATGACGGGGTTCAGTGTTTTCGCGGCGTTCACGATGAAGAAGAGCGAGCAGAAGCGGTTTAGGAAGATTTACTTCCCCTGGGCAGTTAAGAATGGACTGCGGGCCAAGGAGGTGATCAACGTCTTTTGGGAGGAGGAGTTGGAGCGGGATGTGAATGATTTGAGGAGGGAGCTGGGCGTGGAACCGCCGCCGGATTTGAGGGAGATCAGGAAGCGGGAGAGGGAAGAGAAGAGGAGGAGAAAAGAGATGGAGCGGATGCTGAGTGGGCGCGGGACAGAGGACATCATCCAGAAGGCGGAGAAGGAAGCTGAGGTGGTGGCGGAACGGGTGAAAGAGATGAAGAATGAGGTGGTTGAGAAGGTTGGCGAGGTTGTTGGGTCTTCGGCTATAAGAGGATAGACGGATCATGGGGCATCGTTGGGGAGATGATGGACCCGAGCCCCTCGGTGAAACTAATGTAGAACATATTGTATTTCCACCCTCAGCGAATTCATTACGACGCCTCTTTGACCCCAACTCGTTCATACTCCCAAACTTGAACATGGACTATCGTCCTCATGTCATTCATAAGAAAGCGATAATGCCATTAATAACCGTTAAGGCCATGAAACTCCTTCGTTCCCCCTTCCTCCCAGGTATATATCTCTGTGTCTCAACCCAATGTCCCACCTACAAATCAAACAAGTCATCATCATCATCATCTAACCCCCACCCCTTCCTCCTCGTCACTACAATCTTCTCCGCCTCCTTGTTATCCGCCACGGCGTTCAGCAGCTCCTTGAGCTGCTCTTCCGTCACTTTCGAGCGGAGCTGGCCCGTCTGCGCCAGCATCATCAGCCGGTTCTCAATGTCGGTCGCGCGCTCCTCCTTGACGAGTCGGATGCGGCCCAGCCGATCGGCGGCTTCGGGCATGAGGATCTGGTTGAGCATAGCTTTGCGGGCTTCGGCTTCTTGTCTGTTTGTGGGAAGAAAGGAGGTTGTCAGCATTTGCAAAGGGAGAGGTGGGGGCGGGGGAGGGAAACAACGGAGAGGCCGTAACTTACTGTCTAGAAGCTTCCTGACCACCTTGCCCACCGGCGCCGGAGGGACCACCGGCCTTGGGACCACCACCGCCGCCGCCTTGCGCCTTGAGCTGTTCAAGACGGGCCTTCCTGATCTGTCATGAAGTAAAAATGTTAGTACATACAAAAGGTGATGTTACGGTATACAGCCATCAAGGTGTCATTCGTGCGCCGCATCTGTGAATGTCTGTTGATGCTACTATGGGCTGGCGGTAAAAAGGAGATGGGATGCGCACCTTCTCGAGCTCAGAGTCATCCATCTTTGACGAGTTGGATGGATTCGTGGTAGGTTGGCGACTAGCTTAAGGGTTCGAGAAATGGTTCTTGAGTGTTTGAAGTGTGGTAAAGCGCTTGGTTTGCTGTAGGAGGTTTAGGTTGTTGCGATGATGGACGGAAGGGAAGCACGGCGATCGCGGGGTTGCTTGGGGTCTTGAGGGAAGTTTTTAGTGGGGCAGGCATAGCGATAAGTTACGTAGGTAGCGGATCTGATCAGGGGTCACAATAGGGGTATCACAACGACATTGTTTACACAGCAGCATCTAGAATAGTTGCTGGAGGCACCTCGAACACCAACGGATTGGGGACGTCCCCAAAGTCAAGACAACGCGGCCAATGCCAGTATAGAGATACACTTGAGAACAGTATTAGACCGGATCTTCATAATGCCATGCTATTCATATGCAAAACTAAAAATACAGGTATGTACAGGATGATCCGTCTCCAAAAAACACGACCACCTCCGCCATAACACCTTATATCGCCATAATTCTGTTTATCCGTCTATATATGCAGTAATATTGGTCATACGACCCCGTGATCTATACATCATCTAATCTTGTTGAGGATATTTTTGAGAGGCATGGGCCAGAGCCTGTCGGGATAATGGGTATACGGCTCCGGAACATGAGGAACAAGTTTCGGCTGATAAGGAACCTCGAACGGAATCTCCCTCTTCCTCCTCTCTGCCAAAACCTTCTGCTTAGCCTTGACGGCTGACCAGATACTGTCAAGAGCGTTCACAGAAAGACCGAGTGTCTTGCCGCGCATGACGAAATAGCCAGTCACATATCCAATATCAGTATCCAATCCCCTGGCAGTCAACCTGCGCATGGGACTGTCAGAAGTTCCCTTCCTCTTTAACCTGTGGAACACTTCCGACCGCATGTACGGTAGGGTATTGGCAACGCGGAACTGCTCCAAACCCTTCAGCTCAGGCAAGTGGGAAACCACATCGGCAACCTCGGATAGCAGCTTGTCCATGAGCTGACGAGCGTGTGGGTTCTCAGGGATCTTGTCGTAGGTGGAATCCAGAATTGTCGCCAGAGGATCAGCTACCGCTCGGAACGCCACCGCTGGTAGCTTCAGCTGCAAGAAGTCGTCCGTTCGGTGACCGGTGGCATTCAGGTCCGGAATTGACGTGAGAAGTTTGATCAAATGCGACCCCCTTCGCTGATACAAGGTGGGCGGGTGCTTCTTGATCACAACGGGCGCGGCCGGGCCGATATTGTCAGACTGAGGGGTGTAGACGGTCAAGAAAAGCCTTCCAGGTCGCACCTCGCCAAACTCAAATGTCTCATCGCCCAACCCCAGACCAGTTGTCATGTGGCCGAGGATGAACACCGGCCGCTGGCTTTCAATGGGGAAGTACGCTTTGCAGATAGCCTCGGCGACGCCCAGTCCCTCCTGGATTAGAACAATGGTCGAGTTGTGGTCAAGTCGGTGCTTGATCTGGCCGAGTGCTTCGACGGTATGCCCGGCTGGCACAGTCACTATGAGGTTACTGATATGTTCGTCCTTTTGCTTCCGTGGATCATGGCCATGGGTTGGCGGCGTGAACTGGGCCTTGATCCTGTCACGGACAATGACTTCCTTTTGCCGGTGAAGCTTCAAGCACTTTCCCGCCTTGACCCACCTCTTGAGCAGGTTCAATCGGTTGATCATGTAAATCGGCGGTGGTATCGTCTCAGCACCGGCTAGCGTGTGTGCAATGTATCGTCCTTGAATATTGAGGCCCATAACGTGAATTAGATCGGACGGTTTGAACAGATCAGTCCATGGCTTCTTCTCGCCCTCTCTTCGGATCGTCTGTGCCAATTTTTGCTCATCCAACTCCCCCTCGTTCAGCCGATCGAAGAACTCCTTGGTCGGGTTTCGGTATCGTTCCTTGGCGGCTTCTGGTTCGCTCCCACCATGCGCAACTGGTTTCGACTCGGTTTTTGTTGGGACATGCGCATCGAAGTTCTTGGGGAGCGGCGCATCCGGCGTAGCCGACAGTGTAGCCGAGCGGGCGTCTGCCTGTGACGAGGCCTGTCGTGTTTGCTGCCGAGGGTACGGCGGGACTTGCACGTGGGTGCCTCGGAAGAGGACGTCGCGGAGGGGAGAGGACGAAGCGACAAAGAGCCGACTCTGAACCTCAGGCTGGATGGAACGGAAACCGCTTGCGCTGGCCCCCCGGCCCACCGAGGTGTTACTGGGACACCATCGTGTGTGCCTGCAGGGTATTCGCCCAAACACCCGCAAGTGCGGTCGACTGCCGGTAAAGGAATACAGGTTGGCGGCTTTCACGGACGACACCGGGAGCTCATGATATGGTATTATCGTGGTGGTGCAAAAACCCCGCCGGAGGACCTGTCGCAAGAGGTCCTGTCAGGATTTATGTCCCGCGCGGGAGCATTGAGGACCGGGGAGGGACCAGGGGCGAGAAGGGTGAAGTGGGTGGCCGGGGAGGAAATCCGGAGGGGTGGTAATGTTGTTCGAGCAGGTGGTGGCAGTCGTGATGGTAGTTTGCGGTACAAAGACTAGCTGAATTCGGTTGTCGGACGACGATGATTTTGTCAAGACACTTTCCGACCAAATGTTCGATGGCGGCCAAACTTTTTTTTTTCCCGGGAGCGCGCCCGCGGTTGATGCACTGTCACGCTAATCGGCCATGGAAGAGAAACTGCTCTCCCCTGATTGGCTTGCTCGGCCATGGCATGGTCTTGGCATTACACTGTGCAAGGCTTGTCGCAGCATGTGGAGCGCTGGATCTGGAACCAAAAAAGTGCAACTTGAACGGTACGCAACTGTGTGGGGCCGCTTTCCTCATCAAGCAGTCGCATCCAGATTCGCATCTTTGTTCATCAAAACACCATCAATGTCAACAAACCGCCGCCTCCTCAGCATATCTGGGTTTTTATATTGAAATACCGCACTCTTCTTCTCAGCCAACTTCGACATTTACAGCATTTACTCAACATTTACCCCACATATATCTCAACCATGGATGTGCCCGACATTACCCCCTCGCTGGAGAAGCTCAACGTCGACCTGGACCAGCTAGAAGCCGCCTTGAAGCCTGTTCTCGGTGATGTTGGTGATGTATCTTCCAAATTGCCTCTTTTGGACAAGGCCAAGCTCTACGTTATGGTGACTTATGCCATCGAATCGATCCTCTTTTGTAAGTCAAGCCTAGCACGTCGATGGCCAAAGAAACGTCTTGCTAACATGATTAAACAGCCTCACTACGTCTGAACGGTGTTGATGCCAAGGAGCATGCCATTTTCACAGAGTTGACCCGCGTCAGGCAATATTTCGAAAAGATCCAGAATATTGAGAACCCGCCCCAGGAGCGTGAGCAGACGGTCAACAAGGAGGCCGCTGCCCGCTTCATCAGATCTGACTTGGTATAAGTTTTCGCCACGGATCTCGCTGTCAGGGTAGTGCTAACAGATCAACAGGCCGATGATGAGGCTATCAAGCAAAAGCTGACGGAGCTGATTGCCAAAGAGAAGGCGAAGGCAGAGGCCAAGGAGGAGAAGAAGCGAGCAGCAGATTCGAGCTCTGAGCCCACTGCCAAGCGCCCCAAGACCAAGGGCAACAAGAAGAAGTGAGAGATGCGCACACTGCCATCTTTGTTGAGTTATTGTGCGATGACCTTGACCGCGGCGCAACGTTTTGGCATGGCGCTTTAGGCTCGTGCTAAGAAGCCCGATATATGAGGCATGCCGTGCGTTGTTCTTTTGCGCTTCGCGAGGCCGCAGAAAGGCCAACACGACCCGGAGATCGTTTGCCCGGAAGCAAACCCGCGGCCACCGGAATTTTATGTTGGTCACTTGAGATACCCACCAGCTGGAGTTTCGAACATGAAACCATGACTGGATATTGTCCCAGCATCGATGTGGCGGAACACTGCGTTGCTAGTTCTGAAAAGAGGGACAAAGGTGCCCCGGAAACATCAGGATACGCCTCTCGATGGAGGCAACCGGTCGGAGTTAAACACAGAGGGAAGGGCTAGACACCGGAGTAGATGAGTCACGGATAGACAATTTCGAGTTCACGAACCTAAATAATCTCTATAGAACTGAGAAGTTAAGCATCGAAACCCCTGAAGATAAAACATGCGGCTACAACCCTAACCCTCTGACGGTGGTCACGCGCCCTATTAGCCTCAACAACATGATGCTCTCTCGCCTTCGATTGGCTTCCAGTTTAGCTTCAAGACCGCCCCAAAAGAGCGGCAGAGGCCCCAAACTCACCCAAAAGAGATAGTTCACAGGGGAAAACAGGGGTCCAAGCTCCGAGCTCTCGACTCGGCTTTCAGGGCCTCGGCCGGCGCGGAGGCGTGAGAAGGGCGAGCGGGCGACAACTCGCAATTGGAGTCGCAACAACTGATGAATGGCAAAATGTCGCCCGGCTGATCATTCCCCACTACGTTTTTGCCGATAGTATGTAGTACCTTTTTATATATCATAGCTGCTTATCCCCATTCCTTCAACGATCATCGTCGCCATCACAACCACACTCATCCACTACCTCAAACCGCCAAAACGTCGGTCGCATTAATCTACGCAACCCAACAACAACCACACCAACAAGAAGCCAAAATGCCTCGCCAAAGCCGTGGTTCCGCCCGCCCTTCCGTCCCCGCGCGCAAGCCCGTGGCTTCTACCAACCAGCAGCAGCAGCGTCCTGCTTCCACCTACGCTCCTCCCACCGCTGCTCCCCACGCTCCTCCCGCTGCCGCCGCGCCCGTTTCCCAGGGCCCTGGTCTCTTTGGTCAGATGGCTAGCACTGCTGCGTATGTTTTTTTTTTTTTACCTTTCCCCTCCTGCCTGCTCCCGGACCCTGTCGCGAAACCCGTACTAACAGACTGGTATGAAACGAACAGTGGTGTCGCCATCGGCTCCTCCATCGGCCACGCCATCGGAGGCATGTTCTCCGGTGGCGGTTCCTCCGCCGCCCCCGAGGCCGCCGCCGCGCCCGTCCAGGCTCAGGCCGCCGCCGCCCAGAACTCGTCGTGGGGCAACAACTGCTCCGAGGCGACCAAGAGCTTCACCCAGTGCATGGACCAGCACCAGGGCAACATGCAGATCTGCGGCTGGTACCTGGAGCAGCTCAAGGCTTGCCAGGCCGCTGCTAGCCAGTACTAAATACTGAGCTTATCTTCTCTCTCTTTTGCCTCTCTTTCTCCTTACTGAGGCATTGAGGGGGGCTGAGGGTTAAGTAAGAGGAGGTGAAGATGTGAAGGGTTTGGAATGAGAGAGAGAAAGAACAGAGTGGGGCCGTGGGTGTGTGTACGATTAGTTGAGAGGAGGAGAAAAGCAAGTAGCTTCGTTGCTTGGCTTTGTCGTCTTACGGCGAAGGCGCCGCTCAATTTACGTCTCCCATTCTCTCGAAGAAGCTCGAAGAGGGGTTCACGCAGCATATACCAACAACAACATCAAGATACCAGCATTGGAGTTCAGGAATTGGTCTCGAAGACGGTGATATATCATCATTATCATTATAAGGGTAACACAAAGAACTGTACAAATACAAGATTTTTGCCTCCCTCTCTGGAGGGATTAAGCTTTTTTTTTGCTTCTTCGCTATGCCTGATGGTGACTACAGTACTCATATGACATCTTCCTTTCTCCTCGTCTATGACTTTCACTCAAGTCTGTCCCCTCTTACTGTCCCCAGCTTGTGACTGCTTAATTATCGTCGTCATCATGTCTCGGCTCAAAGTTTGTCTGCTTCTCGTTAGCTATTACCCTCACATCTCCAACGAGAAAAGAGAAACGGGCTTACTTACCGAGTTTCCATTGTAAAACTGTTGATCGTTCCTCTTGCGCTCCTCATCCCTCCCCTCATCACCAAACCCCTTAATCCTGCTTCCCGTGCCCCTGTTCACAGCAGCACCCGCGCCTCCTCCACCAAGTGACCTCCCACTAGCTCTCTCCGCCCTAGTAGCTTGGTGCTGCTCGCCTCTAACCTCAGAAGCCACCTCCTCTGGCGTAGGACCAGCATTGGGCGGTCCAGAAACACTGAACAGCGTCGAAAAGAACGCCACCACCGTGCTGAAAAAGGCAGACAGGAACCCAATCAACCGCTGGAAGATATTACCTCCCTCGTCTGCCTGAGCCGCCGCAAATCCAACCCTGCCGCCGCTTCCCGACCCGCCAGCCGCCGGAACCAAAATCAGTGTCGAGCTCGGCGCCAGCCCCAGTTCTCCGAGCGTCTTCCCCTCCTCCGCTTGCTCGATCCTTCTGCTCGGCTGGGGCGTCAACAGCACCTTGAATGTATACCTCCCCTTCTTGACAGTAGAAGATTCAGCGACAGTAGCCTCCACCCACTCCCTAACCTCCCTAACCGTATCCTTCTCCGCCGAGAATCGAGACCGAATGGTCGACCCGTCCGTCAACCTCACTTGCAACGCACAATGCCCCGTGCTCTTGACTGGCTGGTTACCACGGGGTAGCATCGGACTGGCTGGCGCAAAGGGCAGACCCTCCGCCTTTTCGTTATCGTCTTTTCCGCCAGATTCTTTGGTGGCGGCAAGTGCTTCCTTCTCCCGCTGCTTCTCCGACTGCCTTGCTTTGCGAGCGGCTTTGTCGTCCTCGATGGCTTTGAGAATCCGCTGGCGCTCTTCGCGCGCTTCTTGCTGTTTCTTGCGCAGGGCGTCGGCGGCTTGGCGGGCGGGGGAGTTGGGGTCTTCGGCGGCGGCTCGGGCGCGGGCGGCAGCGCGGGCGGCTTCTTCTTGTTGTTTCTTTTGGGCGGCGAGGCGGGCGGCGCGCTCGGCGAGGATGGCTTGGATTCGGGCTTGTTGGGTCATGTTGGTTGTGGGAGTGGTTGTGGTAGGGGATGATGAAGAGGTGGTTTCGGTGGTCTCGGTGCTTGTAGTGATGTCGGTGGGAGGTTGTTGAGAGATTGTATCATCGGTAGATGATGTTGCCGGGACTGTTGTCTCCTCCGCTGATGGTTGAGGTGCTGGCTCTGATGGTGCGGCTGCCGGTGAGGCTTGCTCTTGGTTCTGTACTGTCTCAGGTTCCTCCACCGAGGCCGAACCTGTATTAGCAGCTGTCGATACCGCCTGTTGCTCACCAATAGCAGCCCCCAGCCTCCTGACAAATTCCTCCTTCGTGACTCCAGCAGCGATATACTCCTTGAGTTGCCCGCCCCTTATATCATCGTTAGCTTAGCAACGCACTATACCCTCCCCCTTTCGTCTTCAGACCCAAGGTAACTCACCTAAGAACAACCACAGTGGGCTTCTTTGGGAGTGGGAACAACTGAGCCAAGTATCCCTCCTCAGTACTGCCCGCAACCAGCTTCAGCATCACGGCGCGGGACTCGATGAGGGGGGATATGGCTTCATCCTTGAGGAACTCGGTTTCCCATTGTTGGGATTCGGTGTTGTCATCTGAATGAGGTTAGTACTTGGTCGATTACCACAGAGTCAGAGTCCGATATAGTGAGGAAAATGTGGAGGTTCAATGTCATGAGAGCCACATGATGTGAAAGGATATGCTCAGCTCGGCAATCCGAGAGCAATACAGATCCAGGCAGGAGTAGAAGAGTCATGATCACGAACCGGTAACAAAACAGATCAAACTCCTGGTCTGTTGAATAGCGGCGGCGATGCCTTCTTGGAGGGTGCCTGTGAAGAACATGTTGTCTCTCTTGTCGTTTGAGTATCCAATAGCAAAAAGCAAAGTTGACTGATGAATGAATCAATTGCTAGCCAGGTCGATCAATTTCTGGGACTAGTAGAGTAGACTGCGATGATTCACAGCTATGCGTGATACCAACTCGATTCACGGAGTGAACCAGATCCAAGGTGTAGAATTGGATGACGTGATGAAAAGCCTGCAATGGAGATTGAGTCGAATAACAGTATGTAGACAGCTTGAACTTTAAAGGTTGAGGTTGAAATTGAGGTCGAGGTCGAATGCCAGAAAGGTAGAGGTCCATACACGTTTCCATGTTCCCGCTGACGTATTGGTGTAGCGCCTAGTACCCCGGATATGGGCTATAAATACAGCGTATGCAGAAGTACCTCCACCTGTAGGTTGACAGTGTCAAGGTCGCTGTCGGGTGTACAGTAGCTCATGGAGGCTGTTAAAGGACACGTTACCTAGCCAATAGCCGGCCGTTCTGCGACCAAGCAGACCCACATTTGAACCCTCGACGTTACCCGACTTTGAAATTGCATCGATATCAACCTCGATGGCTCAGAATTTCAGCTGTCTAATATGCTCAAAGGATCTATTCAAGAGCTAGTCGACTTGTCGGAGCGTATACAAGACTTCACTTTTCCTCCGGCTTCGAACGGTGATCGTTGCAAATCCGGCCACTTGTGCAAAGCCGATACAAGACTCATCCAAGCACATAGTCAAACAGGTATCATATCATATCAAGCAAACATAGACCGAGGAAAGGAGAACTACCCAGCCAAACACCACCTCAACGCCAGCTCGGTCAAACGAGAAAGAGAGAGGATCAAATATGAACACATAATAATCATCATCACCATCGTCAACCGGAATGCTCGAGCCACTTTCACATAGACGCCATCATCATCAATCACCTCACTCTCACTCTCACTCACTGTTACAGACAATAACGCCATTGCAATGAGAATGCTAAAACCGTCACAAGACCTTTTTCGAAGAACGCCATCCCATGAAACTCAATTGTTCAAGATTCTCTGCTCAACGACTAAACGCAACCCTTTGCTACTCATTCATGGTCCCTCGCATCGAGCCAGCCTGATTGTAATTTCGCCGTTTCCGAAACTTTATTGCCTTGGACGAATTTTCCCTCCTTCATTTCCCGCGAACTGAGAGTAAAGCAAAGTGATCCGTACCCTTCCATACCGAAAGAAAAAAAAAAAAAAAAGAGAAAGGAAAGACAAGGAAAAAAAGGTGAACCAGCGTCCAAAAGAAATAAGAGAACAAAGACTGGAAAGTAGTAGTAAACCCAAAGGAGGACCATATCGAGGGTTTGTGATCAACTGGCCGGGTAAGCAAGTATCACCAATGGTCGCTCGAGTTGCATCTGGTAATCTGAAAACGGCCGAGTAGTCTAGTTGACGAAGGTGTCCCTGGATGGTTGATAGTCGGTGCTCCAGTCTATCAACCGTTCTGGGTCGTGACCAGATGTCCTTCTCCAGAACTCGGAGTTTGTTGTGCTCCCCAGGATGCTTCAGCGGAAGAGTGTAACGCTGGTCCATTCAGTCGATTCCGCCAGTCTTTGTATTGCCATTGGAGGCACTCATAGTAGCAAGTGCATGGCATAGTCGAGGGTCCGGATGTTGAACGCTATGTGATAGAAATGGAACCATAAGACCCCACGCTGGCATCCTCCTAAAGTCATCGATGTACCAAACATAAAACATAGCCACAGACATATGTGCGTTGGGAAAGTGCCATGCTGAAACCAAACTGGGGTAATATTGACCTTTTCCATATCAATTCTTTCGAACGGTATCGAAATAGAAGAGGATAGCACATACGAACCGAACCAAGGTGAAAAGGAGGTCCTTGTTGAGCCTGCTTTTAGCCGGGATTCATCATTCGTCAACGACTACTTGATCGAAACCCATGAGGTGTGTTGCCCAGTAATGTTCATACTTGACAGTTGTCGGTCAACTTTCAAAGTCCGCGAACTCGGCGTCGTCTCCTTCCTAGAAGCGCATGTGTTCCGTCTTAAAGCCACGGTTGCCCTGCTGGTTGCTCTACTCCTGGCGAGGGCGCTTGGCCGGATGCGCGTTCTGTCCCCAGCCTTCCGATTGGCCACCAGCGTTGAAGAAGCCTGCATTGAAGGGCTGCATTCCTGGAAAGCCTGTATCATCAGGAGCATGTAAGTATTACATACATGGCAAACACATCCGGACTAATCATGGCGACTTACCTCCCATACCTGGGTTCATCATACCCATACCTGGGTTCATACCACCAGCCATGGGGTTCATGCCGTGCATAGGCATAGGCATGCCTCCCATCATGTTGTTCATTCCGCCGCGACCGCGCATGTTAGGGCCGCCACGCATGTTGCTGCCCATCATGCCGCCGCGCTGGTAACCACCTCCGCCAAAGCCACCACCATAGCCACTGCCGGCCATGGGGTTGTTGAAGCCGGCATTGTTGTTGTTGAAAGCCATGTTGTTGCCCTGGAAGTTGCGGTTGAAGTTCGGGTTCATACCGCCACGAGGACCGTTGAAACCGCCACGGCCACCACGGAACCCACCGCTAAAGTTGTTGTTCGGAATGAAGTTGCTCTGGCCGCGGTTGTCGAAATTGTTGGGCCCGTTGGGAGCACGGTCACGGATCTCCTTGACAGCACGGTTCGGGGTGTCCTTGGGAAGCGTGCGGAAGGGGTTGACAATCGGGCTGGAGTAAATCACGGAGTGGCGTTTCTGGCCAGGTTGCTGGCCGACCTCACTCGACAAGTTATCAATCACATGCTTAGTTGCGCTCGCGGCTTGCTGAGAAGTGAATTCAACGTAGGCTTGTCTAAAAGATACAGTTAGCAACATTCGTGATATGACACTCGCGAGCGGTTCCACATACCCCTTGCTCTTGCCGTTGACCTTGTGTTCACTAAATGTAATATCCTTCAGCTCAGACTCGCAGTTCGCCTGGCGCACCCAGCCGCGGATGTCGTCGTCCGTGGTCCACCAGTGGAGATCCGAGATCATAAGGGCAGTAGTAGCGCCCGGATCGACGGGTCGCTCATCGGAACCAGGGGCATCCTTACGCTTCACGCCTTGCTGTCGCTGCTGGGGCGCTTGATTCTGTGATGTTTGGTCCTGGTTGTCATGTGCGCCGGAATCCTCTCCATTATGGTCCTCGTGATAATCGTGGTGCTGTCCGTCACCGTTCTCGGCATGGTCGCCATTGTCATCGTAGGCGTGGTGATTACCGTCACCCTGCTGCTCGCCAGACTGGTCATTGCCAGCATCGGCATAGACGTCGATCTCAAACTCCTCCTCGGCCATTGTGACTGGTCCTTGACAGGCAAGTGACTAAGTTGTGAGACGCGGATGCCTGAGTGTTCAGGTCAACGAGTATGTGCTATCTCTCTGGAAAGCAAGTCTGAATTAAGAACCTGGCTATTGATCAGAAGTACAAGATTGTCTGTAATGCGAGAACCCCGAATCAGTAGCTGACAAGATAGGGATCTGAAAGAAGAGTAATATAGCCGATACCCATGCGATTTCTGGCTAAGCAATGGAGAAAGGCAGAGACGACGATACGCAATAACGAACGCGTTACGGAAAGGGAAAGCGGCCATGATGAAGAACGCAAATAACAACAACCAAGGAAACAAGATAGGGAGAGGAAGGAAAGACAGAAAAGGTAGAGTTTGCGAGTACGTACATTCCGATCCCCAATGACGCCGGAAGCTGTTAAAGTTTCAGAAGACAGGAGAGGATGGCCTCGGTAAAAGAGATTGTTTGTTAAGACGGAAGCTCTGTGCTTGCAGTCTTGCGTTGTTCTTTTGCTTCTTTTTTTCTTCCTTTTCTCTTCTTGTATTCCGAGCAGATCTCAACTTTCCTCCTTCAGATTATGACAGTTCCCCAGAGACGCTTTCCGTGCTTGACTCGCGCAACGCTATGGGACGCGACAACTCGCAGTACCTTGCTCTGGTCCTGTTCGTAATGTGCTGGTCGGCTGGAGGCAAGAAGACCAGAGGAACGGGAGACAGCTGGATGGATGGCAATGGAGATCTGTAACTGAGTTAATGGCAAAGAAACGTCTGGCTGATAACTAGACTTGGGTTCTCGTCGGTGCTGGACGAGAGAGGGCAGTCGAACGAATATGCTGAGGGAGCCAGACGGGTTGGCAAAGGTAGTCGATTGGGGCGAGGTCGAGCCAAAGTGATCGACTGGCTTCGGTTTCTCCCCACGTCGGTCGCCTGCGTCTCTACGGAGCAAACAGGCCTTGGGAGTAGGGCCGAGACCGTGATCGTACTCTTGTGCCGATGGACAGATCTTGAATCCACTGGTGGGCAGAGCGAGTCGAACCGACCTACGCTAGAGGTTGCTTTGGAGCTTCCGATGCTGGGTGGACTCGAATTGGTCGCCTGTTGTTGTCGGATTGAATGGAAGAGAAAGGTTCGGTGTTGGAAGGGGACGGAATGGAAGATGGTGCACGGGACAAAAAAGTGCCCTGTTGAACGGGGAGCTTCGCGGCATGCAGTGGACAGGGCTTTGGTCCAACACGGTACACAGCCTGGCAGGTAGGTACCTTTGGGGCTCGGGCTGAGGTGCCCGTACACGACGGCAGTCAGAGAGGACCTCGCTGGGGCGCTCCGGCAATGGCCATCCTGCTGTGCCAATGCCCTGGCTAGGTGGGCGTGGTCTGGGCTTTGGAGCACGTTCCCGGTACCTGTCTGCTCGCGGCAGGCACCTCCACCGACTACTCTCAATCGATCGCCAGCTGGCGGCCTGGCAGAGTCTAATGTCACGGGTTAGGGTTGGTGTAGAAGATCCCCGATGTCATGCCTAGAGGAAGGTATTGCACCACGATGATTCCGCTCGTTTGTCTGTATAGACTGTCTGGAGTTTCCTAACATCCTGGCCGTCGTGTACTCTTTGATTAATCACATCTCGGATCTGAAGGCTAAACGTTGTACACAATGTTACCCATCCCTCGAGTACCACTCCATCATCAAACCCAGGTATGGAAACCGAGAATACCGGTGGGGAGCACTCCTCACAATTCAAGGCATTTTTCCGTCGGGGGTACGGATTGCTTCCAAAGCTAACCAGCAAAACATCATGTGGAGCACTGCCGTATCCCCAATCAGAAGAAGTCATCATCATCGTCATCATCATCATCCACAAACCCTCGCAACCCACGCCAGTTGAACAAGCCCTCGTCTGGTTGTATCTTTTCGTTAACCGACAAGCCCATTCCCGGCTCGGCCTCGTCAGAATCGTTCTCGTTGTAAGAATGCAAGGTCGCCGTTCCAGCATTCATAGTAGGTCCGTTCCACGACGACGCTAAGATGGAAGGTTAGACGAAAACCGTAAAGAGCAGGGTATGCAAAGCGAAAAGTTCAAGATAACTCACCAACAAGCAGCGGCGCATTAGGATGCCAACCCACATCCCTGACAAGCGTCATCCACTCTCTCCTCGTCGTCGCTGGCGAGTATCCAGGAATCCTGAGACCCTCGGTGACGCTCTTAACATCAATCTTCGCCGCAATGGTTGCGTCTAGGTTCCAGACATACACAAACCCATCGTAGGACCCCGAGTAGACATAGCGCGAGTTGGTGCTACCAGGAGGCGAGAAGTGACACCGGATCAGTGTTCTCTGCACTTTGTGTCCCCTAAACGTGACCAGCGAGTTATCATGCGGGTGCGGCTGCCACATGTAGTCGTGATACTCTGCAAAACGGTAATCGAACTGATACCGGCGTCTGGCGGTAGGTCTGGTGGCGTCAAGCTCTTCTACGCGGGCTGTGGACATGGCCATGCGGAGATCCCATAGCTTCATGGATTGATCCTTGCCATTGCTGAGGATGTAGCGCCCGTCACCTTTGCTGTCGATGTATGTGAGGCCTTCCATGTGGCCGACGAATGCGCCCGCCTCACGACGGGAGGACATGCTTCGGGTGTCCCATACTTTGATGGTGCAGTCGTCCGATCCGGAGTAGAGAATGTGTGGGGATTGCTTGTCGGCGAAGCAAACGGCGTTTACATCGTTATCGTGGCCCTCCACGTTGTAAAGAGGCTCTCGGCGCTCTATGTCGTAGACAACTATTGAATCGGCACCTGTGCCCGCCACAAGGGTTCGTCCATCGCCCGAAAAGCGGATGCTGAAGATAGGAAAGGCATCCCTCCAGCCTTGACGTACCATTCCACCGGCAAGATCAAGCGTATAGGGGTCACCTGTGTCATTGGGATCCGTGGGGGCGAAGCAAACTTGGCTTGTTAGAGATGTATATGCAAGCCACTTGTTGTCAGGACTTAGGTCCGCATCTGTAAGAGTCCATTGGCCAAAGGGGTATCGAACTGTCTTGTAGTGCTTCCAGTTGTACGGGTTGGAAGTGTCGTACATGCGTACTTTGAAGTCCTTGACACAGGCGTAAAAGAAGTTGCCATCATCGGAGAACTGGCCGCAGCACACGGGATCATCGTAATGGATGACCATCTCGGGCTTCGATGAGGGAATCATTTGTTGAGCCATAAGAGCCAGGTTGGTTTTTTGCTCTGTCCTATCCCCCAGGCCCAACTCCCGATCCAGTAACCGCCGAGTAAGTCTTTTTTTCCTGCTATCTGGCTCCCTGAGATCAAAGGCGCCGAAAACACCGGATTCCATGAGCTTCTGACCTTGCTCACTGGGTACTTTGGGAAAGGCGGGAACATAGCCCGGCCTCATCCGTCTGGGCGGTTCCCAATAGCTGTCATCGTCGTCAATGTCACCCATATGATGACCTTGGATAAGCGCCAACAGTTGTTGTGAACCTAGGTGAGCACGACCGCCGCCTCCTGAAAAGCAAATATTCACCCGTTAGCATACAATTCTTTAGCGTCTTCTTAAGAGGAAACATCCCTGAACGGATGGCCATGACGAGTGAATATCTTACCACGTATTATCTGAAGAATCCTCCTCTCGAGTGCATTTCCAGCGCCATTGAGATCGTCATCGTCGTCCTCTCCATCATCATGGGCGCCCGGTGCTAGTTCGTCAATAACCAACTCAAACTCAAGACCACCACTCCCATCGAAATAGTCTTCGTCATCTTCATCGTCTTCGTCATCGTGCTCATCCTCGTCGTCATAATCATCGTGTTCGCCCTCTGCTGAGTCTGCATGTTCTTGCGCCGGGTGATACATATATCCGGCGTCGTCCGGTTCCCCATGTTCGTGGTGCTCTGCATCATATTCACCACTTTCCACATTCCCGCGCACACTTCTATGTGAGCTCTCAAACGCGGCATCGCTTCCATTACCCCCCTCGGGCGGTTGTGTTATCGGGCTGCTGCTCATGGTTTCCTGTCGCTGTTTGACGTTTGAGTGATAAGCGATGACACTAAGTTGCTAGACGAGTCTTATGACGGGGATAGCGAGACGGATGTGGTCATTAGTGTAGCTTGAAATGGCCACTGAATAAGGGCTATAGTTCACCAGAGAATAGTGAGACGGAAGGTCACATTTACAAAAGACGTCGACCGGGGAGGGATCAGATTGATGGAGGGGAAATCGGCTTGCTTAGTTCAGCAAGAGCGATGGTGGGCAGCCGTGTCTCCAATGAACTTCTGCGGTGTCTTTGGTTCCTTTGCCCGCGCTGCCGGTGACGACATCCCAGCGCATTTATGTCTTTCTCCACTGTAGGGGAAGGTCCTTTGTGACCCCGGCCCGCGGGTTTTACTGTGCAGTGTAGAGGTAGTGTAGGCCCGGAGATAACGAAGTTTGATGAATAGGGTTAGGGTTTCCTAGCACACACCCATCTGACCACCTTGCTTTGAGCTCTTGCGATACTTGTTATTGAATAAGTACCTATACTCTTGCTTTTTATGTTTCCATTTGTTCAAGCCAAAGTTATTTGCCCCTAACCGCATGATCGTCCTGACTTTTATTTCCCCAGGGACCTCGAACGTGTAAGACAGTTTAGGTAGCTCAACCCCAACGCCAGGATTGAATGTGACACAGAAAAAAGGCACAATCTTTGCCACCCTCAAGATGAAGACATCATGGAATTTTTGATTCTTCCCACTTTGTTCACTCACACTTAACCTGTTCAATCCAATGAACAATATCATCCCCGCTCTCGTTGACACCCAACACCAACGCACTCAACTTTCTCCCGTGCCCGCATCCTGAGTCGAGACCGTACGCATATCGAATTCCCTTAAACTTCTTAGGCTTTTTCCTATTACTTTCAACTTCCAAATCTTTTCCTCCATCTGGTGATCTCTTTTCCACCGTTTCCGTCTCCGTTGCTACGGCCGTGTCCGGTGATGCTGCCGCCGCTGTCATTGGCGCATTCGTCACCATAGTATTCGTTGTCAACGATATAGTGCTCGGCGCCGAATCATCATCGTCGTCGTCATCATTACCATCATCATCACTACCCTCATATCCAGTCTCGATCTCCAATTCCACGTCTCCTCCGGCGGCCAAGATGACAGTTTGATCCCCTGTTCCGATAATATGGCGGGCGCTGAGTGGGATTGGGCTCTTCCCGGGGTCGATGGTGATGTGTTTGTCGACTTGCAGACCAGAGCGGGCGTCGTGGCCGTAGATGACGACTACGCGATTGGATTCGCTGCTAATCAGATTCTGGTAGCGGTTCCAAGCGCGGGACCAGGGTTCACCTTCGCGGGTGTCGAGAGGAATGGTGGTTATTCGATTATGGGTGATGGCGGTGTCAATGCTTCCATCATTGTTCTTCTTCTCGTCTTGGTTATCGGTGTTATCGTCAGAGGTTGATGAAGTGGAGCGCTTGTAAACCAGACTTCGCACGTTCATCACCGCCCATGGGTCTTGCTTCTCTAGCGGGAGAGATGGGATGAGGCCCCCGTGGACGACGACAACTTCTTTGGCGTTCCATGGCGCGGTCTTGGCTCCGGAAAGGTGGCCGACTCGGAGGATGATGGGACGAGAGGCAAGCCAGTGAAGCTGAGAGAGGGTGAGGGAGCGGGCGACGGCAATGTGTTCTGGTTTCACCCCCTTGGGCTTTTTTCTCCGTCGTCGTCCTGAGATTTCGACACTATCCTTCGCTTCCTCTTCTTCGGACATTTCCTCATCGTCTTCTCTCACACTATCGCCCTCGTTCTCTGTCTTTCCCCACTCTTTCTTGCCCTGCTTTATGCGACCTAACCACTTCGCGGCCTCGAGTACCTTGTCGTCATGGTTGCCTCTCACGGCACTCGCTCCTATGTCCCTAGCGAACTGCACCAAGCCCTTGCTATCCGGACCTTTTGTAACTAAATCTCCGGCAAGAATGAGATGATCTGTCGTGTTGTCGAAAGATATTTTGTCCAGAAGAGATTGTAGAGCTGTCGGGCGACCGTGCGTGTCGCCTACAATAACCAAACGTTTGTTCTTGGTAATATCGGAAGATGATGCGGACGGTGGTGAAGGGTTGGTGGTAGATGGGAGATGTTTCTTAGAGAGGTTTGATATTAGAGTTACAGGAGTGTGGACTGCGTCGCCAAGTTCGAGGTCTGAGATAATGGGAATATGGTGCCTATCGTCATTATCCTGGGTCGTGAGAGCTTGAGGTTGCGAGGGTTCTGTAGCCATCATTAATCAAGTGTTCCAGTACTCTGTCGTGAGTGCTGTTTATATCATTCTGGAATTGGGGCTCTAAGCAATTAGGCAAATAATGCTAATTAAAACCATAAAAAGAAATGAAAAGCATTGAAATCGAAATAGTATGGAACCAAAGAAAAAAATTGAAGAAAAGAGGTGAAGAGCTTGTGAGGAGGCTAAACCGCGCCTAGTCGCTTGTAGCAGAAATCCTCAATCGGGGAAGGCTACACCTTATGCGGACGTTTTGCCATATGCGCCATCTCAGCTCGCCAACTGGATTGGCTGATAGACCTTGTATTATCCGCAAAGCATTCTTGTTACGACTGTGCAGATGCGGTAGACGCAGTGTGCACTATCGCAATGTGGGACATGTGACGATGAAACATCGGAAGAAAACAAACAGACGCATGATGTGCTTGGTGAATGTGGGGACAGAAATGAGGACCCTTACGGTACGACGTCATATCTGGAAGCTTTTCAGAAGCTTTTGTCGCCGGTCGATGGAAGAGCGACTCTTGGCCTGCGTTATCTGGCCCAAGAAGGTGAATCATGTAGAACGTCAAAGACGCAAGCAATATGAAGCTGGTACCGACAGCGACGGAGCAGCGCCGTCGACAAAAGAAGCGAGCCATGGCTTCGGCGATCATGGAGTTGAGTTTAGGTATCGCATGGTTCTTTTAGGTTGGTTGTAGGATTGAACGTCGTGAGAAAAAAAACAAGGTCCCGGTCAGGAAAGATGAAGAGAGGAATTTGCGGGGCTGGTTTAAAATGGAGAAAAAAATGGAAACCACCAAGCCTTCAGCAGGCAGCAAGAAAAAAGAGAAGGATTCACGATGAAGATATATACAAGACAAATAAGCAGTCCGCTGTAGAGCCAATGTCTCGGGAAGTTCTCGATAGTCTGAACAATAGCCTCTTCGGTTTTTGGGTCATGTGTGACGGAGTGAAGTCCGCCCCTCCATAAATTAGCGTTTGTCTGGGCTAACTCTACTTTGTATGACGAAGAAGCATGGATCTTGCGAACCGGTACACGTACCCGTTTCACGCCTATGTACTTGTCTATACACGTGTAGATGAAAAACGCCCCAATAGGTGCGCCTTTCATGGAGAGAGTGTGTGTTGGTCTCAACTCTCAGAGATTGTGGACTGACCGTACTCAAGAATCAGACAACTGCGGAGACTGGGGTTCGGGTTTAAGTTGACGATTCCACCGAGTTAAAAACACTTGGTGTTTATCATTGCGTAATCAGGGATTGGACATTCGAATGCGTGACTTGTGACCAAACTGATAACTTTCTTTCTTGAACCGGCGGGTTCAATTCGGCAAGCTCAACAAAGTTGTTGGATTGTGAGCCTGGTGTCTTTGAATTTTCGCAACGCAAGCGCAAGGCGGTAGAAGACTGAGGACATTTTCGCGCAGTGACAAGGCGGCAAGTGGTACAATTCAACCTCCCATTTCGCCGTAAAATCCAAAACGCCTACCAATGCTGATACTTGTATTCCACCCATAGCCTATAGGCCCGAACCGTCGCCTTCTTTTCAATCGTACAGCTGATTATCCTCGCTTCCGTGACCTGAACCTGTTGTGGTGTGATGTAGGTGTAATGCCCTTGTATCCGTCGTGTCGGCTCGATCACTTCTTGTTCGCCGCGGCAGCAGCCTGCTCCCTGAACTTCTGGTTCTCCAACTCTCTCCAGTCCGGCTCGGCCGAGTTATTGCCATCTGTGACGCCCTTGCCGCCAGCAAAGGCCGACTTGCCGGCATACAACTGGTAGCCCTCGCCTGATTGCTCAGTCTCCTGTAGCTTCTGGAAGGTGATGGGCTGGTTGCCACGGAATCGCTTGCGCATGTCGATCATGCCTCGCCTGCAGTCACCGAAAGCTCTCTTGAACTGCTGGCATTGGGTCGGGAGGGTGTCGACGAGCGGAGGACGGAGGCAGTCGGCGGCCGAGTTTCTGTGAACCATAACACATTCCGACTCCTGGAGGCATTGCGCCAGGGCGGCACCTGGAGGAGGGGGCGCAGTTAGCGGTCTATCTCGACAAAGCAAAACAAGATAACAAAGGGCCATTGGCAACTTACGGATCTCTTTACATGAGCTCGGCATGGTGACTGCGTTCTGCGATGGTTGACCTGGGAAACTGGGGCGGCAAGCGAGGGACGGCGATCGGAACTCCAATGTCCAGAATCCCATCGCTAGTAGGGTGCGCTACTAGTCGCGGGGCCGAACGGGTTGTTCTGAAAGTGCAGGAGCGTAGGGCACAAGGCGGCCTGTGCACTTACTTACACAAGCAGCGCTCTTCCGAAGCTCAGGGGTTCGACAATTCCATTGGTCGGGCATTCAGTTGAGGTTCTTCTTTTTCCGTTCCTTGTCTTCACTCTGAACATTGACATCGCATGCCACGGTTCCCAGCTCGAGCGAGCCTCGAGAAATTACACAATGTCTTGAATGGCCAAGTACCAACCTACCTACAGTCCACCAGGAATAAAGTGTGCGGGTTCACCAGATCCAAGATCTCTCAGCTCTAGTCTACACTAGGCTTTGTGCACCCATAACCCCAGGAGCCAGGTAAGGACCCCTCCTTGATCGCCAGGTCCTCCATCGCCCACTGACATGGGATCGAACACAGCAACCGGGTTTGGGTCACATCTCGCATGGTTAGTCATCCTCCAATATTCATGCTAAACGGCGCTTGAGAACAAGGAGCCAATGGCCAGACCAAGAACACTTCACTCTCGAGAATGAATCGTTCACATGAAGATTCTTCAGAGTCCTCGCATATTTGCATGTGACCCTGACATTGTGACATCACATTGGTTCAGACTACCCCTTCTCGATCTTTCGCCGCCTTTTTTTTCCCCCCTCTTCTTCTCTTACCACCAACCGACCAGCAACCCGACTTCCTGACCCCATACATTATATATAATATAATAATCTCCCATTCATCGCTGGTAGCACATTTGTCTTGTACCTATACTCCTCCGCACAGTCCAGAGCTGGACAGTTCCCATTCATTATCCTATCCTGTCCTTGACCCAGGGCTGTTATAGCACATCTTTAGCTATCAATTGCTTCAGCCCCCTATTCTACCTGACCTTGCGCCAATGAGGGTATAGTTGCCGAAAGCCGCCAAAATGCCAGTTCCGTTTCTCGGGCGACTCGATGTGTGAGACATGCCTCTGTTTCCCCTACCTGACCATCCCGTATTTCGGTGCACTTTGTCTAACGTCTTATCTCGTTTCCAACAGCACCGAGTATGTTGCGCTTATCGGGTCCTTCTTTCTCGTGGGATTCGAGGCCCTCATTCGTGTTCTGACGCTCGCCCTACCTAATACCCTGATTACCCTTTTCTACCGGTTATCGAGACGACTGTTCAACAGATGGACAACACCAGCACAGAAGCGGGCGGAGGAGAGGAGGCAGCGTATGTGACAATCACTCAACTCCTTGAGCCTTTGTCGGATCGTCACGCAAGAAACTAACACTGTCCGATATGTACAGCCGTCTCTGAAGCTGTCCGAAACGCCTCCGATTTTGTCGATCTCTGCGCCCTATTCGGATACACCGCAGAAGAGCATGTTGTGCAGACTAAGGATGGATATCTGCTCGGTTTGCACCGGTTGGCTTACAAGAAGGGCGAGGAGGATACAAAGGTCAACCGAGGACCGAATAGCATCAAGAAGCGCGTTGTCTACCTACATCACGGTCTGCTGATGAACAGCGAGGTTTGGGTCTGTCTGACAGACGAGCAAAGGTGCTTGCCCTTTGTGCTTGTTGAGCGCGGCTTTGATGTCTGGGTACGTTCATCTGCCTTTGCTGTGGCTGGGAAAACATCTGACAAAAGTTTACCTTTCAGTTCGGAAACAACCGCGGCAACAAGTACTCCAAGAAGTCCGTCCATTGTTCGCCCATGTCGCAAAGATTCTGGAACTTCTCGATCGACGAGTTCGCCTTTCACGATATTCCTGACAGCATCAGCTACATTTTGGAGACCACGGGGCAGCCGTCCTTGTCATACATTGGTTTCTCTCAGGGCACAGCCCAAGCTTTTGCTAGTCTGTCCATCCACCCGAAGCTCAACGATCAGGTCAACGTCTTTATCGCTCTTGCTCCAGCCATGTCCCCGGCCGGCCTATCCAACGGCATTGTCGACGCCCTCGTCAAGGCATCGCCGCAGGTGTTATTCTTGCTTTTCGGAAGACGCTCTATTCTGAGTTCGGCAACTATGTGGCAATCGATCCTCTACCCACCCATCTTTGCGAAGCTCATCGACATGGGACTCAGCTTTCTCTTCAACTGGAAGACCCAGAACATCAGCACCTCGCAGAAGCTTGCCGCATACCCGCATCTTTACTCCTTCACAAGTACCAAGTCGGTCGTCCACTGGTTCCAGATTATCCGCACCAAGTCCTTCCAGATGTTCGATGACGATGTGCAGCCCCCGCTCATGCTATCCACCAGCAGCAAGTACACCAAGGTCGCCAAGTATCCCACCCGCAACATCAAGACTCCTATTGTTCTCGTCTACGGCGGCATTGATTCGCTCGTAGACATCAAAGTCATGCTTCGCGAACTGCCAACCCAGACGGTGGCCACCGAGATTCCCCATTACGAACACCTTGATTTTCTCTGGGCCCGTGACGTTGACGCCCAAGTCTTCCAGCACGTCTTTGATGCACTCGAAAGTTTCACCGGAGCCGAACACACAAAGGAAGAATACGAACGCTACCGCAGCGCCCGACATGTCAGCCTGAGCGCCAGTAACTCCTTGAGACGCTTCAAGCCCAACAAGAATGGTGATAGCACGGCTGTCGACAGTGACGTTAGCACTGCCGTGGCTGGGAGTGTCCATGATGGCGAGGAGCAAGTTATTGATGCCGACGAGCGCCAGGAACGGCTGGATCAGGTTAAAGCACCGCATCAAGCGCGTGAGAGCCCCCTTACGACTTCTGTTGGCAGCCTCAGCAGCACTCCTGGTTCCAAGCGCGGAGGCAATATTCTTAGGAGACCGAACTCGAGGCCGACGAGCCCCATGTATCCCGGGTCCTTGGATACGCGCTTTGAGAACGGCTCGAGAGCCGAGTCGCCGTCGGACAGAAGTCCCGACTCCGAATATGTAGGTGCATTACCTTCAGTTACGCCGCCCAAGAGGACTGGAACGGGCGCGAGCCAGATGAGTCTGAACTCGCTCAGGGCTGGGAAGGGGATCAGTCTTGGTGCTAGTGAGTCTCCTTGATTCTGCGTGCAAGCGTGCAAGCGTGCGAGCGTGTTTGTATGTTTTTTATGTTTTTGATGAGTCTTCTTCTCCCCTTTTTATTATATACGAGGTGTATGTTGATGCAGGTCGAGTTGCATTATACAAGAGCTGGATACTAATCGCGGAATTTCCTTACGACATTCAGGCAGGGCAGTAGGTGGTGTTACTACGAGTGGTGCTGAGGTTCCACTTGCTGCTTTGACGGGAGGCAGCTCGGATGAAGCTAGGACGTTAAGGGACTGGAGGAAGAGTCCGAACAAGAGGTAGTACCTTGGGAGCCGGGGCTACAGCCGGAGCGGCAGTGGTTCGTGGAATTTGCTTGGTGCAGGTGACCATGGCTGCCGGGTAGCATACACAGTAGTAGAATCACGATGTTGAGCATGACGAATGTGGGCAAATAGCAAGAATCGTACAGTATCTCTAGTCGTGCATCTCAACTGCCCGATCGCCATGCCATCCCTCTCTCCATGACTCGCCTGCATTCCTCGGCTCTGCTCGCTCTTATAGTCTTCGTCATTGAACAGACGAAAGTCACCGCCATCAGCAGGTTAACATATTTGTCATATGCTACTCTCAACTTTGCTGTCGATGATGGGTTTACTACAACAACACATGATTGATAACCACCATACTACCTTTTGCTCGCCGGATTAATTTCCCTTTACTCACTCCGTCTTCTTCGCCCCCTTCACAACCCTCGGCATATCCGGCCCAAACAGCCCCAGTAGGTAAGCCGACCTCGTCAGGAACAAGAACATCTGCACACGCCTTCGTCAGCATCCGTCATTACTCACTGCCTGTGATCTCAATGCCTTGCCCCCTCAGGCCAAAAAAAACAAGAAAAAAAAAAGAATTATAGAGAGAATTTGACAAAAAAAAAAAAAAAAAAAAAGCTTCAGAAAGACTCACAGTAACTCCCAAATTCCCCCAAGTCATGGCATTCCACCCGCTCACATCCATCGTCCCCTCCCATCCCAGTGCCTCCGCCGTGATCATCATGTGCCCCAGATCCGCCACCCACAAAGCAATCAGGTAGTTTTTGACAACTCTGATCTCGGAAGAAGAGTACAGCACGCCTACCCCGACAAGAAAGGCGAGGAAGTACATGTTGCCTAGTTGGCGGGTGGTGGTGCGGCTGGCGGTGGGATAGGCGATTAGAGGTGAAGAGGAGGAGGAAGGGGGTTGGATGAGTTGTTCGTGGGTGAACCAATCGGGGGAGAGGATGGCGGGGAGGAAGCCGGATAGTCTGCGCGGGGAGGTGTCAGTGTTTTTTTGGTCGAAGAAGTTGTGATGAGAGGGAGCGAGGTATGCATACAGTGAGAGAGGTTCGAATTTTGTAAAGACGAAGCGTGGGAAAGGGGGTAGTTGGGAGGCCATTTTGTTTATTTTAGGGGGGGGGGGAATGTGTACGGGTGACGGTGAGTGAGAGGATGAATGAATAATGCAACAAGCTACACAGGGCCACGCGAGGTAATGATTTCTGAAAGCGAAGAAAATGTAAGATGAGAGAGGTGTCGTGATGTAGTCCGACGCTCAATATCTACGCTCCTGGTGCCAATGTCTCGCGGACAACAAAACTATCCGTCGCCTCGTCCCCTTGCTGTTGTCCATCAGGGTCCTCCTCTTTTTGATTGTTGTGCAGGGTAGGTAGCAATCAAGCGAGAAGACGAGTGGAACAGCTGCACTTGGCATTGCTTGGATCCAGGTATTCTTCCTTTTTGGGACGGGAAGCCTACCAGAACAACCACAATACATATGTGATCCGCGTTAGTACGTTCTTCACTTGCATCGCGCTGAAACAGACGTCGTATCCGTTGCACATATCGAAGTCCGTTTACCATGTGGCATCAAATTTACCAGTAGTGCGTTGAAAAATGCCCGAGACTGAGACGCAGCGTCCGGTGAATCCCAAGGTGACAAGAATTAGGTCGACAAGCTGGTCAGGGTTAGGGTTCATCTGGACAACAATCGAAAGGTACCTCGCAGCACGCAGTACATATACTTGTATTAACCCTGTTGGGCATCCCCTTAAAATTGTTTTCTCTTCTTTTCCAAATCTTTTCGGGTTTTCCTGAGAAAGCCCACCAAGAGTAAGACAGTTACAACCAGTATTGCTTTGGTTACTGGAGTTTGTGGCGGTGCGCTAGGGTCAAACTGTGACTTCGATCGGATCGGTAGAGGTACGTCACCCGAGATGACTCTTATCGGCCAACGATGTCTAGCGCGATAAGAACGCCCCACTGATGCTTGCCAGGGAACTTTACAGTTGACGTCTCATAGCTTCAAGCCCGTCACGGCCAACATCAACATCAACATTAGCATCGAACGGTTGACCCGACAATTTGCAAACTAGGTTTATAACTGAGGGGCGCCCCATTCACAACCACTCGCCGTTGCGAAAACTCTTTGCTTCCACTCATCACCGGAAGCAGCCATCGTTCCCTCTCCCAGACGCCAGTAACGCTCACCTTTCCTCATCACATTCGACAATATGGCCAGCAAACAGGAAGACCTCCAGCGGAGGCCCGTCTATCTATACGACATCGACGCCGACATCCTGAACACGATCGCCCTCAAGTCAGATGCGGACATTATAGCCGAGCCAGTCGACAAAACCGCCAAGCAGACAACCGATACCACAGCAACTGAGCCCACAGCATCGGGGTCTCAAGCCAGCTGTTCACTATGCAGCCTCAAGTTCGACAATGTCCAGGAACAACGGAGTCACTTGAAGACCGATTTTCACCATTACAACCTAAAACAGAAACTGAACGGCCTCTCGCCAGTAACCGAGGCCAAGTTTGAGGAGCTCGTCAACAATCTCGACGAAAGCATTTCAGGTTCCGACTCTTCAGACAGCGAGGATGAAGAAGAGGGGCAGGACAAGGATTCCAGTATGCTATCTGCCCTCTTGAAGAAGCAGGCCAACATTGTAGGGAAAATGGCAAAAGACGGTGGCGATGATGGCGAGAATGACGGGGACAAAGTGAAGTCGTCAAACGGATCGCAACCATTGCTCTGGTTCAGCTCCCCGAAGTTACCAGAGAACTCTTACTATGGTGTCTACAAAGCTATGTTCACCCCAGAAGAGCTGAAGAAGGAGGACGCTATTGTCGACGCTATCAAGTCCAGGCAACTGGCATCCATCACCATGGGCAAACCGCCAAAGGACGCCAACGACATCCCACCAAATTACACTGGCAAGCATATCTTTATGTGCATGATTGGCGGCGGACACTTTGCCGCCATGGTTGTCTCGCTAAACCCACGGAAGACGAAGCATGGAACAACCGGACCTCTCAACAAGGAAGCCGTCGTCCTAGTGCACAAGACTTTCCACAGATACACCACTCGTCGCAAGCAGGGTGGCTCGCAATCCGCCAACGACAACGCCAAAGGCGCTGCCCACTCAGCCGGTGCTAACCTCCGTCGATACAACGAGCAGGCTCTCGTTGAGGATGTTCGCGGGCTGCTGGCCGAATGGAAGGGACTTATCGACACATCCGATCTGCTCTTCATCCGCGCTACCGGCTTAACCAACAGGAGGACATTATTCGGCCCTTACGACGGACAGGTCCTGCGGGCGAACGACCCCCGCATTCGTGGTTTCCCATTCATGACCCGGAGAGCTACCCAGAATGAGCTGATGCGCGCCTTCATCGAGCTTACCAGGCTGAAAGTACGACAGATCGTCCCCGAGGCAGCCGCTCCGACTACCGAGTCACCGAAGAGACCGAAGAGCCCTAAGCCGGCTGCGGCTTCGAAACCAAAACTTTCAGAAGAAGAGGAGACGCTCCTTTTGCACACCCAACAGATCCAGGCCCTTGTCAAGCGCTCAAAGGTGCCCGCCCTTCTATCCTACCTCAGCACAAACGACATCTCCCTCAAGGATTTCCGCTTTTTCCCAGCAGACCACCACACCCCAACGCCCCTTCACCTGGCCGCATCCCAAAACTCGGCGCCGCTCGTAACCGGTCTCCTCACCCGCGCCGGCGCGGACCCTACCATCCCTAACGGCGACGGCAGGACTGCCTTCGAGCTTGCCGGCGACCGTGCCACTCGTGACGCTTTCCGCGTCGCCCGCTCGGAGATTGGTGAGGAAGCATGGGATTGGGAAGCCGCCAAGGTCCCTGTCGCGCTATCGCGGGACGAGGCGCTGAAGAGGACGGAAAGGGAAAAGAATGAAGCGAAGGAGAAAGAGGACCAGAGAAGGAAGGCTGAGGAGGAGAGGCTGAAAAAGGAGGGACCAAAGGTTGATGCGACGAAGAATGGGAAGAAGGCTGGTGGCAGTGTGTTGGCGGCTGCGATGAAGCTGACGCCGCAGGAAAGAAGGGAAGAGGAGGCGAAGGGGTTGACGCCAGAAATGAAGATGAGGTTGGAGAGGGAGAGGAGAGCGAGGGCGGCAGAGGAGAGGATTAGGCGGCTGCAAGGTGGGCAGTAAGTCTAACGTGTGAAGCTGGTGTTAGAGGGGTTGGGTAATATGAGGGAAAATGGCATGGACACTTTGCGATTGCATGTTGGGTATACCAATGTCAAAGCGTTACCAACGTATGACTCAGTTTGAGGTGACTGGAATTGACTCCCTCTGCCCATCATTATCGGCAATCTGTGGTCAACCAATGAATAATCTATCATGAGCAACTGATTGGGCTTGATTCATGGAACAGGTGAGCAAGCCATGCTATTTTGGGCTGATTTCGGCTCATATATAAGATGGGTACCCAGCCCAAACGTGTCTCAGGGTAAGAAGTAGGGCATTGGAGATGGTCTTAATCATCATTGAAGCAAAAATGAACATCAAGTCTATATTTCGCCCTTGCAAGGCTACTCCTACAACGACAAGCATGAAACTAAAAACAATGCGAAATCTTCCTGGCCTTAAACTATCTGATGTAAGCTAAACATTACCGTCATAGTTTGTTTTCCTCGAAATATTGCGACGAACAAAACATCAACAGGTCGAAGATTACCTATTTTCATTTAACCGAACGTCTGCTCTGTTGGCATTGAACTTGTGTCGCTAATATATTTCGAGAAAAGCCCCTTAGGTCTAGAAAACTGGAAGATATCTTCCTGTCAAGGTTCCGATCAATAGATATAGCCATATTTTACAAAGCGTGAGTGTCGGGTTCTCGCCGTTATTGGGTTCGCTCTTGTTTTTGCGAATTTACTTTATTGAAGTGTATCTGATGTATCACGATGGCTAGAAGCACGTTTCCTGGCCTGAGCAGGACTTATCCGAAATCACTGGGGTATCAATTTCTCAAGAATGCAACTGATGAAGTATCTGGAGCAGGGGATTAAATCTCGGTCGGATGTACGATTGAAGACTTGTCTTCGTATCGTCCCATTCACTGAACCCCGTGCCTTTCATCACACAATAACAAACGGCTGATGATGGCTCACCGGTTACACTCTCGCTCGAACGACTGTATAAAGTTGACTCCTCAGGATTTATAGTTCTTCCGATTCGTTTCCTCCTTCACCAAACTCTAGAGCTTCACGCTTTTGACACTCGCCGAGTCCACCAACTGCTACACTACGCACCTTCAACCAACAATTCATCACCAGTTCACTCACATCCCAATGTGTCTCGAAAAGCGCAAGCTCTACACCGTCTGCGGCCACCAATCCTCTGGCATTCGTCTCTGCCAGCGACAGCGCGAGATCTCCAATGATCTCGAGGCCTCAGGACCTTCAACCCCAAGCGGCAGCGACACCGGCGCCGCCCTTGCCTCCAGCATCTATTTGTGCTCACGCCTCACTCGCCTTATTTTCCCTGCAACCCAACCGGTCTCCTGCCGGCCTCCACATCCCTACTTCACCGAAACTCGCTTCGGCTTTTGTTGTCGCTGCCAGGCTTACTACCGCAGCGCCGGGTTTGCGCCCTCCGAGTCCGACACTCGCGACGACCAGGTCATTCTCAAGTACTAGAAGTACAAGAATGTCCGTGGTTGGAGCGAGCCGGTGGATGCGGAGTGTGTGCCTGGGAAGATCATCTTTGACGGGGGGACGGAGTACGTGGAGGACCCGAAGTTGGCAAGAGGGGAGATTATCATGTTGGGAAGACTCGTGCCGTTTACAGGGGAGGATGTGGGAGACGGAATTCAGAAGTTGGAGGATATTAGGTGGAAGACGATTATGTGGGCTGAGGAGGGGAGGAAGAAGAGGGAGTGGCGAGGGGAGCTTGAGGAGAGGGAGAAGGAGTGGGAAAAGGAGGAGCAGGCAGAGGAAGAGAAAGATGGTGAGCGGAGGGATGTGCAGTCTGGAACTGGTTCTCAGCATGATGCCGCTACGGAGGCAGAGGCAGACGAAGCCAGCCAAATCACCCACAGGGCGCTGGTCGCGTCGTATCATAACGTCCTGACAAGACTCGCTGCCTCTACTTCCGAGTACCAATCTAACCTTTCCCGTAGCCACAGCGGGGAGACCGATCTCACTCACGTGGTCCAAGGAGAACATGACAAGGACGAACACGAGAGATTTCATGTCAACGAAAACATCGTTGCCGAACAGAATGACACGGCTAACATAACCGACGGCCTCCAGCCCGAGTCTTCCGCCTTCAGCGTTGAAGACCTATATATCTACGACTACCACGAGCTTTCAGAGATCCTCGAGGAGCGCTCCTCGCAATTCACCAAGTCCCGACCGTCCAAGGAGACATCATCCAAGCCATCTTCCGGCTCAGCCTCCGGAATCACAGCCGCTGGCCAGTCTCCAGTCGTTGAGAAGGAGACGAACCTCTCGCCGGGGGGACAATCAGCCATTAATTTTAGCATGCCTTTGACGGGTTTCATACGACTGACGAGGAGTAATTTAGCCCGTCTCCGTGAGATACAGGAGCCAAAAGAAGAAGGCAAAATGGCGAGTCCGTCAACCATTCAAGCAACAGTTCGACCACTGAATACAGCTACGCCCTTCTGTCTGGCCGGTGCTGTCAACGCCACGGACAGCTTGGGGAAGCTTACAACCTCAAATCCATCGCAAGCCCTTCGCACCCCCTCCCGGGGCGGGCAAGAACAAACTTCCACTACCTCACAAGTTACCCCCAGTGTTGCTCCAATCCAATTTTCTTCTCCCAGCATCGCTCCGAGCACTACTCCCGCAGCAAACCCCGCCACGACACACTCAATCCAATCATGGGAAAACTTCACCATCTCCACTCCTTCTCAGTCCATTCAATCAGCATGGAGAAAATCATCGTCATCATCACGAGCAACAGAGGCAGGCGAGACAGGTGGTGGTGGTGGTGGTGGGAGAAGAACTACGAGCAACATTACACAGCTCGGTCTCAACCAGCTCGTGCTGACCACCACCAACTCCAGCCCGAACCCGAGCCCCTCAAACCACGCTGGTCAAAACACGCCCCGCTTAAGACGCACGCCCCGTCTTCAAGCATTGAATGAGGACATTTATCTCAGACCCGGACCGGAGCAATCTGATGATGATGGCGATAGTGGGTCTGGACTCGGAGCGTCGGTTTTCGGGGAATTGTCTACGGGGATTGTCGGGAAGGAAGGTGGGGAAGGGAAGGGAAAGGGAAACGAGAGGAAACTGGAGGAGTCGGGGGAGGGGTGGTGAAAGGGTAGGTAGGTAGGTAGGGAAGGCGTCACTGGTAAAAGGGGGGTGGAGGGGAAGGAGGGAAGGGATGACACCCTGGCAGGGAAAGGAAAAGAAAGAGAAGGAGTTTTTTTATGCGAGGGGGCAAGAAGAAAGAAACAAGCGATCTATTCCGGGGTAGGAACAGTCATGTAACCGTGCAGTTCTTGAATTTGAAAGAATGCACGCATTCCTCAGAGGCCGGGGTACAAACAACTCTTTTCCGTCCAGACCTTAGCGTAGTTCAAGTTGCATGTGCGAAACCATGAGGCGTCGTGATGAGAGTTCTAGGGTTTTGAACTCAGAGCCAGACAAGATAGAGCGGACCGACATAACGGTGATTGTTGGTTCACCTTGCCAGCATGAGATGGAAATCGAGGAGGTTTCTTACCCAACCAACAACAAACATGACAACCAAAGTGAGGATCCGATTGGATCACCGTATATGCACTCCTTTCATTGAGGCTTGCTAACTCCTGACTCTCGATTCAGGTTGACAGAATGTCCTTGACTGGCATCCTGATTGGGCTGGAACAATTGGTGAGGAAACAAGTAATGCTGCTGGCCAACATTCCTGAAAATCCGAGAACGAGGAATGTCGACAAGCTTTTCGTGACTATGCAGCTTTGATGATCTGGACTCGAGTGATTGGAGTTCATGCTGTGCATATCCTTCGTTTTATCTGCCCTAACTCACTTTTCAATTGCAAGAACTCGGGCATCGTTATTGAAATGTGTATACTCCACGACTCAAACCCACAATTCAAGTGCTTGAGGCGACTGCAGAAACGAGTATGAGAGTACTAACCAATCTTGGTATTCAGCACCTCCAGTAGCTTTAGAAAGCATCTTCGGTTTTGTACCACTTCCCACTCTATATGGGCTTTTTGCTCGGCCCCTCGGAGCAACGGAAAAGTTGACTCTGTCACTCTGCTATTGAACGTTGCCCCGCGGCTGCTCGCCGTCAATCTACCGCTGTCACTTCGCCGCCTTCACTGCTGCCGCAGCCGCCGCCGCACAATTATTGGCAGACACCGACATCTTCCTCAAGCCCAGCTCAAAGTGACCGAAGTGATTGGGGTCCGAAGGATCTATACTATGTACTGCGTTTGTAGGTGGGGAAGGGAGCCGCATTCAACATCGCCCCTTAGGGGATGAAATAATAGAAAGAAGAGAATCTTTCAGGCCGGTACAGCTGTACGTAGTACTCTGCCGCTCGTGCGAGTTATGTGAAGCCGACGCGAGGGCAATGGATTGTGGCAACTACCATTTGATAAACTAGAACCAGTCAGTGACCAGTAGTACACTGCCAGAAAGACGAAGTGACGTGGGTTGGAAAGCTGGGACATCTCAGCGTCGCGATCTCTCATCAAGCCTTTTGGAGCTGAAGAGAGAGAACGTATGGTTCATCTGCAATGTAAATGAGGACGCTCTCTGTGATAGCTGGGTGAAAATATCTACCTATTTGCCCGCTGAGCAACAGGATACAGACGTAATCAATCAACAAAAATTTCCTTCGGGAGATAACTCAAAGTGTCTTGGCGAAGCATTTTATCACTGTTTCTCCAAAAACGGTCAGTCTTGCGAAAATGTTGGGTAGACATTGTGAGTGTGGATCCAGAGGGGTCTACCCTCGGCTCCGTCGATGTCCGTGGCCGCATTCGGTGTCAAATGTTCCGGTCACTATGACAGCTAGCACACGGGAATTTGCCCGGCCCCGCGAAGAGACGACGGCCCAAATTCCGGTGAGGGGCTCGATTTCGGAAAGCGGCTGAAAGTTACCTCTATAAACATGGAAAAAGACTGGTTTAGATGTGGAGCACATCTGAAACAAGGGGCCTTTGAAACGACTCCTCTGGAGATCTGCCGTTCATGCCTCACCATCATGTGCGCATTTGACTTGGGAGTCTGGCCGGTTCGAAAAAAGTTTGTTTGTTCCTATAAGCCGTCTCGAGACCTATGGCGGGAAAGAAGAGCTTCCAGTAATTGGTCTTGAGAAGAGTTGCGACGAGTGGCTGAATGGCTGAACAGAATCCGATTCAGTGAGAAGTATGAGATGGGCGTGAAGGTCGTGAAGTGCAAGGGATGCAAAATTTACATCAAAGGTCCAGGAATGGCTGAACACTCGAGGAGTCGAGAACTGTCTGGTTCTGAGTGAGTTTAGACTGTTGAGATTCCAAATCGGATGTCGTCTGAGGGAGAGCAGGGAAGCAAGGACTCGATGACTACCGACAGACCGGAAAACCAATGCGCAGGAAGCTGAATGCCACGAGATTCTCAGTAGACCAAAAGCTTATCTTGGCAAAACATGTGCGGATGTGATGAGCGAAGCCATAGACAGTTCTGAAACCGCCCAAAAGCTCAGCCACCGTCTGCCGAAGAGAAGGTTGGAGTTTGGAGGTCTGAGAGTCGACCATTTTGAGGATGGTGTTGAATTTCTAGTCCCTCTCGGGAAACGTGCAGAATGGATGAACATGGGGTGCACCAGGGTTCCATGGGCAGGGGGGGGGGTTTGTCCGGCTTGGGTTGCTTTGTGAAGATGCGTAGCTCAGGAGAAGCGACCATTGCCGAGGGCCCGAGATGAAAATGGAGGGGTAATGAGTTGCATTGAGTGTCGCCGTCAACAAGCCTTTTTCTCGTATCCAAAGAATCTACTAAGTGCCCAGACTGCCGGGAGCTGTGTTTGCATAAAGTACAGTAATTAGATAAGGACCCGGAAAGTTTGCCGTTGTTTCTGGATTGAGGCTCAAAAGGATGAACAGGATGCCGACGGGTGTGGGGAGCGTCAGATCTGTAAATCAACGAGTGGAGTGAACTGGAAGCTCAGGGCATCATGCAAGAGGCAATCGTACCTGTCGATCAGTGCTTAAGACCCGCTGAAGGGTTGCTGATTACGGATTCTGGGCCCTAAAACTGAGCTATGTACGTAAAACTGGAGCGATCAGCAAGTTGCCCACATGCCATCGCATGGCTGTTAGTGTTAGTGCGGTGTCGTTTCGATATGTCAACCTCATCGCAGGTTTTGACTGTGAATAACATCAAATCTCGACAACTTGGCATGACCGAGAGGCAGATGTCCACGTTAGTCAATCCCGTGCTGAGGTCTAGAAGCACTTGGTGTCTTTGTCTTTAGCCGCATGCTAAAAATGGCAAAAAGTGTCGATAGGTCGCACCGCGTGAACTTTGAAGATGATGACACTTGATCAACGACAGCTGCTGAAGTGTGGAGCAGGCTCATCGACAGCTACCGAGCCACTGTCGCCGGCGTCGCTTTGGCGTTCCAGGTGAGACAACGAGGCGTTGACAGAAGAATCTTATCCGAGCGGGAGAGACAGCAGAGCAGAGGAAAGCGGGCGACTCGCCGTCAAAACACATATTTCGGGAAATTGCATCCTCCCGTCGTGATCACACAGCATACGGGGCCAAAGTGATGGTCGCCCGCAATCCGGAAGCACACATCATGGGCAGCTCAGCAGCTCAGCTCACAGAGTGCAAGCCCAAGGTGACTGGAGTCTAGGCTGCTTGTTGTTGATGTCTTATCTAAGCTGGAATGATTGTTCGCTCGGACGTTATCCGTGCGCTGTGCAATATTACGCTCCACTATTTTGGAGGTAGGTTCAAGCCAAGTTCTTTTGTTGAACAACAATCATCAAAGAAAAAGCTTTCAACTTCTTGTTCAGGGCAGCTCGTCTTCATTTCCACTTCTTCAAAAAAAAAAGACCGGCGTGAAATATGATCTCATCAACGAAAGAAAATGGCCGTCGAAATCTAGAATCGAAGCGCCCGAGATGACACTGTTTGAAGCCGCCGAATAACGTGGGCGCTTGACCTTGGTGCTTGACCATTGGCTACAGAGCAACACTTCTCCTTGGCGTCTTTGCTGCCAGTCAAGGGGGCCGATGGGAAACTCTTGGTGAAAGTTAGTTTCATGTTTCAGCATCACCAAGCCACAATCGGGTTCCATTCGGTCGGTGGTATTTTGACATCTCGCCCCCTCAGCGATGTATTTTCCGAACAGGATAAAAATCTGGCCATAGATGGACCAAGGAGGAGATTGTTGGCCGGTAACTCGGACCATATGAAATGACGAGGTTGCCTTCAGCATGGTAGAGTCCATTGATAGTGACAAGACTATCAGATCCCAAGAAGTTCAAAGCGGCCACTATAGACAACGTGGCCAGGGTCGGATGCTAGATCAGGGAACATCAACCGATGCCGGTGATTAATTCGGCAAAAGAGCTTGGGTCCAAGGCGGGGTCGCCATCAACGCGAGGAAGCGAACTCAACCGGGGATAGAGAGTGCTGCCGAGATCGGGATGTGGTGAGATGCACCGCTGTCTATACTAGTCTCTTGCTTTTCGCTTAGAACATCCGAATCCTGGGGAGACAGGCATAGGGCTCCCTCCACTTTTGCTGCTCTTCTTGGCCGAAAAAGAAGTCCGTGAAGTGAAAATCGTCCTGATCGAGAGGCAATCGGCGAGAACATCAACAATTGGCTGTGGGGGCATTACTGCCCCTCCATCCTTCATTCTGCTAGTACCTGCAGTAGCGTATGCGGCGTGGCTGAGCAGGTGTTTTTGTTTTAAGATCCAATGCTACCTCGCTTCAGGTGTACCATCCTGGAGATGGCTCAAGCAGTTGGCTGTTATAATGGTGTACACTAGAGCTCGTGGGGATGACGTACATGCTGGACGCTGGGACACAGACGTTAATCTCAAATCTGACCAAGATGTCAAAAATTGCCAAAGGTGAGATTGGGCCATGCTGGTCTCTGGCACAGAGGGGTAGCAAGCTAAGAATCGCCTGAGATGAGAACAATATCAAGAACTTTACCACAGCCGGACGGTCTGACATTTGATAGGCGAGACACTGTAGAAGAAATCTGTCAAAGGCACAGTCAAGTGCCGATATTGCTCTCGCTGGTTGAGGTAGCCATCTTGAAGTGAAGTATCTCTTCTTTCCTGTTTTTTGGAGTTTGTCAGGTAATTCTTTCATGCCAATAACCAAACAACAAAAACAGACATGGAAAGAGCAGCGCGCTAACAAGCGATTGGACATGTGGACGGAGGGGGGTAATTGCAACCCATGCAAACCCCTAGCCTAGCCAAAAGAGGACTAACCAGGGGTGGTGAGACTGTTGGAGAACCCCTGTTGGTCAATGTTTCGACAATGGACGACGGAGCCGCGCGACAGCATGCACACACCCTTGCAAGCCCCATGCAAACCCTGGCACACACGTCTAACCCTCACGACTTCCGAACCACTCGTCGACTCCTCTTCTCATTTTGCAACTCACCTCACAACCGCTCAACACTGAGCCACTCGACTGCCGACGTCCGCCATGGCACCGCAAGTCGTATCGTCCGCAGGCAAAATGTTGCCCTCTTTGTCTGGTCCTCAGACCTACAGTCCATACCCATGTGGGCAGTTTGATCTTTTTTCTTGGCAGCCACCTGTGACTGGCGGCTCTCGTAGAGTATGAGCATGGAACATCAATATGACTTCTCGGAATGGTTACACTCTCCAATGTAACGGGAAAGCTCAGCACCCCGTTGACCTGAATGGGCCTGGCTCCCCTTTCCAGTCAATGCTTTCATCAACCCATCCATCCAAGTATCTCGAGTTGCTATATGAGAGCGAGGCTTCCCTCTCTTTGCCAGACCATCTCTCTTGGTTGCATTCCACAAGAGCTTTTCTTCCATCATCTTGTTGTTTTCCCTCTCTTCTCTCTCTTGTTATCACTCCTCAGTCCTTCTCGGGAGTCAAAGCCATTCGCTTCTTTGCTCCATCCCCTCTCTTAATCTTATTGTTTGTGTTCACCTTGACAGGTTATCACCACCATTCGTTGATTGAATCACGTACCACACTACCTTTTACCAGATTAACAACGAGAACGCCGACTCGAACACACCCAGGAAGACTAGTCCCTTTTGCCGAAATCACATCTCTTTTTTCTCAGACTTAGAAAGTCGTCACTATGAAGTATTCTGCTTCTCTCTTGGCCTTCGCTGCCAGCGCGGCCGCCACTGTAAGTCTATATCTCCCACTATGTTTTCAACCGCCCAAAACTAACATGTGTTTTTTCATAGTTCCCCTGGCACAACGCCCCGCCATTCACTTGCCCTCAGAACACCGACAACAAGTGTACCGAGCAGCAAAAGACTGGCTTCATTTTCGATGATCTCTCCACTGGCCCCTTCTCTCAGTACATGGACTTCAACTTCAACGGCTGGGTCGCGGGTGCTGGCTTTGGTGGTCGCTTTGGAAAGCGTACCTTTGGGGGTATCAGCGGTGTCTGCGGCTCTGACCACAGCAAGGCCCCTTCGTTCAGTGCGGGCGGCGAGTTCTCGCTGGGCTCTATCCACATTACGCCCGAGTTCGACTGCGATCTGGAGTTCCACTATGGGATGCCCGATGGATCTACTTGCAAGCACCGTAATCGGTGCTCAAAGAGCGGCACCAACGTCGTGAACAAGCAGTGCGGTGGTGCTACCAACGTGACCATTGTCTACCCTCCTCAGCCCGAGAAGCCCAAGCCTAGCTGCAGTGTCATCGTCAGCACCATCTCTTTCGACTGCAGCACCAAGCAGAGCACCGTCCCTCCCAAGACCAAGACTACCAAGGCTGCCTCTACCACCTCTGCTGCCGCCACCGCCAGCGTCCCCACCGTTCCCGCCGAGATTACCAGCACTTCTGCTGCTCCCGTCGCTTCTTCCAGCGCTCCTGCTGAGAGCGTTCCTGGAAGCCAGACCAGCACTGCTCCCGCCGAGATCACCAGCGCTCCTAGCGTCCCTGTTGAGTCCAGCCCTGCCAAGCCCAGTGAGAGCGCCCCCATCAGCGAGGTTGTGTCTGCTCCTCCCGTCACCAGCACCATCGTCACCAGCTTCGACAGCACCTCCACCGTCTTTATCACTGAGATTCAGACCATCACCAGCTGCGCTCCTACTGTGACCAACTGCCCTGCCAACCACGTTACCACCACTGTGGTCACCATTGCCACCTCCACCACCGTCTGCCCTGTCACCGAGACTCGCACCACTGTGATCTCGGCCATCTCTTCTGCTGCCCCTGTCGCCAGCTCTGAGGGTCCCAGTGAAATTGTTATCTCCACCTCCATCGGTGATATCATCTCCGCTCCCGCCGGCTCCACCTCTTCCGCCGCTGCTGTCCAGTCGTCTGCTGTCGCCTCCTCTGCTGTCGTCTCTTCTGCCGTTGAGAGCAGCACCGGTGTCGTTGTCCCTACCTCCGCCGGCAGCGTCGCTAGCTCTTCTGCTGCCGCCGTCGACACCACTTCCAGCGCTGCTCCTGTCTCTACCGCCCCGGTTAAGCCCCTTCCTTGCCCTGGTGTCGTCCCTTCGTGCTTGAACACCTTCCTGTTCGAGACTGGCTGCACTGACAACTCCGATGCTGCCTGCTTCTGCCCCAACGCCCTCTTCGTCAAGAACGTCTACGAGTGCATCTACGCCCACGGCGAGTCTAACTCGATCATCTCTGATGCCATCACCTTCTTCCAGGGTATCTGCGCTCCCTATGTCAACACCAACCCTGGCATCGCTACCGGCGTTCCCACCTATGTCACCACTACTGCTGCCCCTACCTCTGTTGTTCCCGTTCTCACCACCATCACTGTCAACCTTACCACCGTTGTTCCCTGCACCAACGAGGCCGGCTCGACCATTGCCAGCTCCAGCACCACCGTCATCGTCGACACTACCATGACCGTGCCCCAGATTCACTTCACGAGCACTACTGATGATGTTGCCATTGTCCCTGCTCCCACCGGCATCCCTCTCGTCACTGAGACTGAGGCGGTCCCTGTCGTTTCTGCTACCGCTACCGAGACTGGTGCCGTTGGCGTCAGCACCAGCACCGCTGCTCCCGTCAACAGCGCTCCTGCCGTCACCAGCGCCCCCTCTGTTCCCATCGGCACTGCTGTCGGCACTGGCGGTTTTGTCCGTCCCACTTCGAGCGTCATCAGCCCTCCTATTGTCGTTGCTGGAAGCGGCCGTGTCAGCGCTGGTCTCGGCCTTGCCGTTGCTGTCGTCCTCGGCGCTCTTGCTCTCTAAGCTCTCTTAGAGGCTTAAGTCTAGGCTTGGAATGAAAAGAAGCGTGTATAATACGAACATGTAAAACGAAAGACAGGACAAAGGTATCATTCTTACGATCCACCACGAAGAAGAAGAAGAAGAAGAGCATTAATCACATGTATGCATTTTTGCCATCGGGGCGTGTTGGACGAGCGAGTGGATTTACAACCACTGGTCTCTACTTGGGCATATCAGCCGGATTTCATTTGTTAGGTCGTGTTGGGAAGAGCAAAGGGATTGTCTTTTTTTGGATTTTGGTGATGAAGACATAAAGTGTCGTACATAAGCACACCCGTGGTGGATATAATCTGTCATTTCACCCGGCATCACCCAATGTAAAATAATAGTTAATTTAAATCATATGGCTAGGCCATTTCGGATTTGTTACTCTGAGGTTCCTTCGTCCAAATTGTGATTCGGTATTTGACTTCTTTGAATGTCTCTTGCTGTATACACTTGTGAATCTAGAGCATAGAGGTACTTGATACTCTTGGCCATGCTAATGTTCACGCTTTTTCCATGGCATCTGCAGATCTACACTTGTACATGTAAATCTCCTCTCGATAAAGCATAACTGACTCAGAACCTGTTTTTTCTGCTCGACTTGCATGCCTTCACCCATCCCATCATGATCCCTTGTCACCAGTCGTCATGATGGCCATGATCAACAAAAACATGAACAACTACAACAACGACAACAACATAACGTCGTATGCGTTATTGTTTTATTTCTTCCCAACACCACCGCCCCTATTTTCTTGGCTTCACCCCTCCCAGGACTTAACTGACTCGATTGCCGTCACCGTATCATGAAGAATCCCCCCCTCATAGTGGCCTTCCTCAAACTCAAACAAGAAGCACCAGTCGGCCGTAATGTCGAGGACTTTTACGAAAACCCTGCTTCTACGGTTCTTTTTCTCTCTCTCTCTCTTTTTTTTTTTTTTCCTTTTCATTCGTCCTCATGGCCATTCCATAGTCATTACATGGTCCCTAATGAAGCTGTGTTCGTAGCTCTACAAAAAACTCGCTGGAATGCGTTTTGTCAATTTGTCCATTTAGCAATAACATGCTCTCTGAATTCCACCGACGTTTATTTCTGTCCTGGACGAGCTTACTTACCGAGGTAGGTAGAGGTAGGTACATACTGACCTACCGAAAAAAAAAAGGAGGGAAACCTGACACCGCTGCCTGCCGCCAAGAACATCCGGATGGACGGAATGGGACTTACACGACTCACGCACAACATTGGAGTCCTTTTTTCGGGACATGTGGGGAGAGGGGGGGAATCTGCCGTGGGTTTTGTCCAAAACCGCGGAACTTTTTTTTTTTTCGGAATCAACCGTGAAGTGGACGGTGGTAATCTCGTTAGTCATGAGAGCTCGCGAAGATCATCGCCGAGCGAAAGCGGGACGGTGTTTAAATCTGTAGGATTTGGTTATGCTGGGTGACCGAACTGGATCATGGGATGGACTGGAGGGTAATGAGATGGGAATCATTGTGGGTAGGGTAATAGGATGCGAGTATCGGCTGTTGCCTGAAAAAAGGCAACATATATACATATACATAAAAAGGTAATGAGAGGAATGGAAGCCCGCCTTGGTGTTTATGGCGATGTCATGGTTTCAGTGATCTGGCCCGGTTGCGGATTCCGTTAATTTTGCCCTGGACGAGGTAAGGATGTTAGGCATCGCCCCTACTTCTGTGTTGTGGACAGTCTTGACCTTTGCTGTGCTGGTGAGATGAAGTGTCTCTATACCCCATCCTCGGCAATGCCGATACCTACCTATATCCGTTTCCAATATTGATTCGGTGGAGGCTGGGTCGAGTCAGGCTCCGGTGCCGTGATCCGCGGTATGCAACAGTGGGAAGTCGCGACGGCGAGGAGAGGGTCAAATACTGTAGAGGTAGTTACATGTGAGCACCGCATTTCTCTTTAACCTGGCTGCAAGTCGGTTACGTCGTAACTGCTGATATCAAACATTCGGGGATGCGAACCTTCCCTTGATGTTTTTTAGGTAGTGATGCTTGAAACCTAGTGTGGTACATCACCCTAGCGAACTTGGAAGCGGCGGCAGTGGAAGTAATCAAAGGCAGTGACGCCACTGTTTTGCTTCCTTCCTAATTTTTGATTGGTCATGGTACGAGTCGTTCTTGCACTTTCTTGGTCTCTTGGATGGACAAGATCATAACACGGTGCTTTTTGAGCACGGGAAAAATCTTGGAAAGAAGAATTGTTATAAGACGTGCTGTAAGTTCACAGTGGGGATAGTGTCGGTTTATGGTGGAGAGCGAACGAGTCGGTGAACATGGGCGTTGATCGTGACTCGAGTCGCTTCACCTCTGCGAAGACACAGCGTATTCACAGGACCGATGGCACAGAACCTTAATTGAATGATAGCCACGTTGAATGATTTGCAGCATTTTTCTTCATATTGTGAGAATAGCGTACTGCAGGATCCTCAGATCCACGATCTTGATGTTGTTCCATGATGCATGCCGCCATGATGGAGTGCCTACAAGAAACATATAGTCCGCGGTACTAGTCATAGACCTTTATTTCGCATGACCAACAGCCTTTTCAACACCACGTGGGTTGTTGGTTGAGGTTGCAAAAGAGTTGACCAATAACTGATCGAGGACACGCAAGGAAAGATAGTTCTCAACTTGCTCAGCTTCGCAAGGTTGGGTTATAGATCAACAGTCCAATTTATAGTTGACTTGGGGTGAGATCTTCCATGTTCCAGACGCCAAAACTAGAACGTGGAAATGCAGATAGGTAACAATTGTAGGCTGGTAGACGTAGGAGAATCAAAATACTTACACACAGACTTTTTGCTTACAGGATTGACCTTTGCCGTGGGTAAGGTGTATCGTGATGAGTTTTTACTGTCTGCCAAATGTATAGAAGTATGCTGACCCCTTTGGTGTCAGGGAGCATGATAACTTTATACCTTGAAGAAGGTCACATGCTGACAATGATCATTGTGGAAGATCCTGCTAGAGCTGAAATGTGAAGTAAAGTTCTGGAACCATGGGCAACGTACGAGAATGGCGAACAAGTAATGTGTAGCATGAATGATCATCGTATACTGCTACATAGAAGGTTAGTGAATGTTTGCAGTAGGAAACTGATACATGGAACACATTAGCTCGCACGCCATGACCGGTGAACCGCTCGTGATGAACCGAACATTCCGGGTCGTCCGGGTTCCGGGGATGGTTCATGCGGTGGTTGTGTGCGTGTGAGATATCGAGGATCGGAAGCCAACATGTTGACTAGATCTATCCGAAGATCAAGCCAGTGCTGGATGCAACATGGCGAGATGGAAATCGGGCAGGAGGTTGTCGATGCACGCCTAGTCAATGATTGTTCACTGCAATGTTTCTATATTAGCTCACCGTATGCTAAGCAAAGACCCGTCCCGGCACCCCGGATCTGGGGATGCCGGGGGAAGTGGGAAAGGGGACGGGGGTAGGTCACTGTACCGGACACCCCACAGTACGGAATAGAGGCAAGAAGGAACTCAAAAACCAAGACATATGGTAAGCTTGGCTTGGCAGATGGGAGCTTTGATCTTGATAACTGGAGCTTGCTTCATGTGAGAAATTCCCCGAGACTGTTTGACGGGTGCTTTAGCGGAAGATCTAATGGTTAAAAAAGAAAGCGGTTATAGCACAACATGTCATTGGTTTGCTCACCGGCTCCCTTGAAACTAAGGTAGGCTTCATGGTTGAGCACCCCGTCTCTGGCTCCGGCCTCACCGACCTCGAAACGTAAGATGTTGTAGATCAAGGCGATCATCTCCCACCAGGGTCCCCTCCGGACACTGTACCGTGTAGTGTAGTATCAGTCAAGAGGAGGGCCTCGTAGGGCTCGCGGAGATTTTGTAGATGAATGTCAAAGTGATGAGGCTTCCAGACCGCTTGAGACAGCGAAATATGACAGATGGATGTCGGTCCACGTCGTCGCCGTCGTCTACTACGATGTGAAGCGGTGAAACTCGAGCAGGCCGATAACGGTAAGAAAAATGGAAGGATACCTTCAATTTTCCTGATTCAGCGACGAGCTCGCTCTTCGGGTAACTGATAAGCTGACTCCATTCACAATGGAATTGGGCCAATGGGGGGTGAGCCAGAGTCCCATAAGGCAGGCGCGAACATCATTGGAGCTGTTGCCGGTGTCGGTGAACAGAAGATAGTAGAGGTAGCCGAGGACTCAAAGATTGTGGCTTGAATTTTTTTTTTTTTTTTTCTTTTTTTTTTTTATTTTTTTTTTTTTTATTTTTTTTTTTCCTCCCGCACTGCTTGTAAAGGTAGCCGCTTTCAATCTGGTCAGAGACCCGGTCATCGCGAGTTCAGTTCAGTTTGATGAGGACTCGACGGAGCAGGAGTCTGGCGAGAACTGAAGCTGAGATGGGAAGGCGTGATCATGCACACTGTGTGCCAGCCCTGCGCACTTGGCAGCTTCCCCGGTTGCAGCCGCAAAGGTGCCTGCAAAACAAGCTTTTGGAAGGGTCCACATTGACTCCCTGTTTTCCGAGTGGGGCCAAGGACAGGCAGAAGGACTCGCTCGGGTTGGGCGCCGAGGCAGGCAACTTGAAGGAGACGCCAAATCGGAACGCACAACAATCTCAAAACACCTGAACCTTGAGGAGAATCAAATCAATGACCAAAGATGAAAGTCACGAGCAGCCATTCCTGTCATCACCTCAGTTCAGTTGGAACAAGGCGCTTCTTGTAGCACTTTTCCACATTCGCACTGCTCGCTCGCTTGACTTTCATCTTTCCGCCCACTTCTCGTCTCGCGTCCACGACCTCGTTCTCACCCAACATGACGCATATCCATCTCGGGCGGTGATCCAAATCACTGTAGTGGCTTCCGCTCCCTTCTAGTGCCCGCTCTCCATTTCCCCGAAACATCTCCTTTGAGGCAGACACGACATGACACGACACCATCGTCCACACACATGCCTTATCGTCGAGCTATTGTTGGCAACGCCGTCCACATCATCGCCACCGCGAACACAACTCAACAGCACTACCCCCTGGCCGTTTGAGATCGATCATCTAG